CACCTGCAAAAGTAGAAGACGGCGGCACGTTTCAGGCAGCAGCCAGCATTTACAAGCACGTGTCTGGTGTTTACTCACCACCAGACGTTTTTCTTGGCAGAGCTGAATGGCCTATTAAACCAAACATGGACCCACTGCACAATGAAACTTCCACTGAATCAGATGCTAATGGAAATTTTCAGTCATTGGGGATATAAGCTTATTACCCCAGTTTCTTAGGAGTAGGGCAGCCACTGTATTCCACCACATCCGTCTAGACACCAATTCCCTGTCAGAGTTTGTTTAGATGATAATCAATTAAATAGAAAACAGCAGAGACTATCTCTTGGGGGGGGACAAAGATAAGCAAAACGATGCATTAAGAGAGCTGAGAGAATGAAATAGGAGAAGGTGTGAAAGTTCATCATCAATTGCATGGAACAACACCATTACTTGATGTTTTCTGCATCTGGTTGGCAAATCTAACACAATAAATCATGTTCACCAAGCTTTTCATCAAGATATGGTGAAAATCACAGCTGCCTTTATATTTTTTCACAAAGAGTAAATGGTATGCAGGTGCATGCAGCTTTTCTGCCTTTCAAAAAGTCAGTTTAAATATGCAGGTAACCTAAATCCAATCAGCTTATGCCTCGGTCTCATAGTATGTTAAGATTGTATTTAAATAAATAAAAATAACAAAAACTATATGATAGAAAACCATAAAACATTTCTTTTCAGCAGCTGGAAAGGCTGTACCAATGACTGCTAACCTGAATGGACTAGCTATGGATAAAGAAAATAAGAAGCTTAATGCTGCAAATAAAGGAAAACAGGGTTCAAAGAAATTACAGAGAATGTCTCTTCATAGGTGGTAACCAATAACTTTGAATTAATGCTTATGCCTGGCATCTACATTTACATATAATAAATTGCTAACTTTTTTGTGGTTTATTATAATAATTTATGACTATCTCTTTCTAAAGAAGGCTTTAAGTTTAGCAAAGAAAATATAGGAGAAAGGACTGATGTAGGTTTAGATATTAGATCTGCTGACATCTGGTGGATGGCTGTTGTACATCCAGTGTCTGCTAGGGGAAAATAAGCTCTTTTTGAACCTGATGTGATGTTTTGGGCTAATTATGTTGTGCTTCTAAACAAAGTTAAACATTTTTGGAATTTATGCACCTAATAATCTTGAAACATGTCAGTTTCTTAGGAGAGGCAGATTATTCAAGACTAGAGAGGAAATTCCTGTACAGACATTAAGCATTGTTATTTCCAGCTTCACAACACAGACAGAGGCTGCATACAAAGTCATTAAATTAAAGCCCCTAACTCCATTTCCTTCACTTTGTATGGAGTCACAAATAAGGCAACTACCACAGGTAGGAAACAGCCATTTTCATAATGGTTTTCTGCTTACAGATAATAAAACGTATATGAGAATTGAATATTACCTGAGAATGTGCTTGGGTTACAGTTGGTGGGACTGATGCCTTCCAACAGGAAGGGTTTGAATCCCTGCCTAGGGTCATTCTGTTTGGAATAAGTGTGTTCTCCCACTGTATTCATATCACTATCACTTTATTACTGTTTCTATAGGTGAATTTGTTCTGTAGCCTGGAGAAGAAAAACATCAGCCCAATGTATGACTTATCTGCAGCACCTCCAGTTTCCTCCTGTTGTCCAAAAACGTTCAGCTTAGGTTGATCTCTTTATGTTGTCTTCGGTGTGAGTGTGTGTTTTTGTTTTGAGTTGCTTTGTGATGGATGGGAGAACTTTTCCACGGTGTACCCTACCCACCCTCTGAGAAATTGACTACTAGCGTTGGGAACATGTCCCCCTTTTTAATGAGGAAATATTGGCTTAATAGTAAATATGTTTAATATCAGATTTTTTTCTCGGCCATGGAGCACTGGACCTGCTCTCTATCAACAGTCCTGTTCATAACCTTTATGGACAGGATTTATATGCACAAATGCCAGAGGGGGTCTGGTAAATTTAGTCACTGCTGGCTCCCTCCTGCTAAGACCTGGGGATGAGAATCAGCTCCTCCAAGTCAGAGGCCATGGTCCTCGTCTGCGAAAGCAGTGTCTTGCCCTCTGCAAGTCTGAGGAGTGTTCCGGTCGCAAGTAGAGGAGTTTGAGTATCCTGGGTTCCTGCTCATGAATGAGGAAAGAATGGATTGGGAGATCAATAAACTTAACTGTGCAGCTGCTATAATGTGGATGCTTAATTGGTCTGTTGTGGTGTAATAGAGAGCTGAACCAAAAGGCAAGGCTCTTGATTTAATGGTGGGTCTATGTTTCTACCCTCACCTATGGCCCTGGAACGGGATCATGCATACAAACAGCTTAAATTAGCTTTTTTCACAAGGTAGCCAGACATTTGCTTAAACCCATTTTCAACTGGCCAAAAAAGCATTTAAACCAGTGAATAAATGGATTTTTGTGGCAATTGCATAACTCAGGTCAATTGACTCGGCATGCGACATTGGTTAAAATTGTTGTCAAACAGCTCGACTCCAATCGGCATACAGTGGGAACATTAGGCCCAGGTCGACCAGCTAATTCACGTGACACAATTGAGCGCAACAAACATATGTTACAACATTGAATCAATTACATCTGATCCAACACGCCAAAACAACTTTAGGTAGATTCAATAAACATGGCGTAGTACTGGTAAAGAGGGATTCGGAAGGACAATAGTGCCCAACAATAAAGCAAACTGATACGGTGGCTTCCTTCCATGTTGCTCTCCATTGTTTACCCTCCTGATTTCTGTCGCACCAGTGACATCATCAACTCTAACCCATCATGTGGGCGTCACCAGACATGCAACTGTTATGAGACTTCTTTTGCCAATGAGAAAGGAGCCAAATACTGATTGTTAGCATGTTTATGCATGTTTGGAAAGATGCTATACAGTAAAGACAGGGTGAAGAACTCAAGTCATTTGGGTGAGGCTTGAAGTATAGCTGCTTCTTCTCCACATCAAGGAGTCAGATGAGGTGGCTGGGATGTCTGTTTGTGATGATCCCTGGATGCTTTCCTCAGGAGTTATTTCAGGTACATCCCATGCAGAGGGGGCCAAGGACACACTGTAGGGATGATAATTCTGGGATAGCCTGGAAATGCCTCTGGCTTCCTCCAGAGGAGCTGCAGGTGGTGTTTGGGGAGAGAGAAGTCTGGTAGTCACCGCTAAAACCTCTGCCCTCACAACCCCGTCCAGGATGAGTAAAAGACACAGATTAAGACAGGGTTTATTATCTGGTCAAAGGCTGATATGTGTTTGTTTGTAATACTTCAAGTGTCATGTCTTCACACTATAAAAACATCCAGCGAACTAAATTCCTTCTATCTTCCCACAAGTCCCGTGCCAGATAGGTTCTTTGCATTAGTGGCTGAGATTCTGTCAAATATGAGAGCAGTGGGAACTTTATATAAAACGGCACAGAAAGAAATGTGTCTGGATAATGAAAATGGATCATAACCACAGTTTAAAACAATGAATCAGTATTAAATATTTTCCTGAAATGGTGCAGCCACAGCAAAAATGTCAGCCAACCATACATATTCATTTATCAGATAAATATAGACGTTAAACGAAATACAAAATTTAGGAAAACCAGCCGTCACCTTTCCACAGTTTATTTCCTTTTAAAATAATTCATACAAATGCATACAGTCACAAACATATCTTTTCATGTTGTCATCATTTAACCAAAAATAATGATATTTACTGTAGAATATAGAATATGTATACTGTATATTGCTACGCCTACTACTTTACCATAAAGGAGAGGCAACAGTGGACTGTATGTTACTACCAGGGATGGAATTTCAAACTCCCTAAACTGGAAACTGGCTGGAAAGAGGAATGTTTTCAGTTTGTGTCAGGAAGAACCAGAATGACGGGTGTTTGGTGGAGGTCAGCGTTCAGGATATGACCTCAGGACCTCCAGTTTCTGCAGAAACAGATCTTGGCTGTAAAAGGCTTAGCAGTGGCGAGAGAAATGTCCATCCCTGATTGCTACGCGTACTACCTCACCATAAAGACGACCAGGTAGGCAAAAGTAAACTGTTATTACTACTCAGCCGCCGGTAGGAGGGGATCTAGAGATAACAGGCCAGATTACAGATTAACTGGAGTTAACAGCTTTTGCATCCTGCTTTGATTAAGATGAATGATGCCTTTTACGGCATCAAATGTTGAATAACATTTCTAACCACATTTTATTTCACAGTCCAACTTTAAATTTAGAGGGCAGCCATTGATCTAGCCCCCCCACCTACCAGCGCTTCTTTTTAGACACAGATACAACCAAGTCACATTGACACAGGCAAGCAGAACACCATATTTACACATAAACACAGGGTCACAGAGGGTGCTTAAATGGTACATTTGGGAAGGACCCGGCTTGAAGTGTTAAAGGGATACCAGGATTCCCTGGAGAAAAAATGCCTTTACTTCTCTGTGCTCATACTGTATGGGGAAAGTAGCACACATTTCTTCTCAAGAGGATAGAACTGTGCAGCCAAATAAAACTCTGATATCTTTTTGGGGAGAAGTTGGAAGTTTAAACTGTTTTTATAGGCTGGAGTTACCAACTTAAAGTGCAAAATATCATCAGATTTTAGAGCCAGGAACCCTGAAAATACTAACATACAAATGATTGAAAAGACTGGCATTTTAAGTTTTTTTTAAAGCACAAAACTAAGGTAAAAAAAAACAAACAAAAAAAAACAGACACATAAATAACCCTTGTTGATGTGCCCTCTGAAACAGGAAGCACTTCCATATATGGAGGATGTTGTCTGGTCTGTAACGGCACCATCTTAAAGACAATATGTCAGATTGGTATGGGTATTACAGCAGCAGAGCTCTATGGAAGAAAGCAAGCAAAGAAGCCAGATTCTTCCTCATCTAAAATAGTTCCTCCATTATAAAATACTTATCTACAATTCAAGGGAGATGGCAACCCAAAACTAAAGAAAAAGAACCAGATTTTATTCATAATGTATTTAGGACAGATAGCTAGAGGGGGCATCTGAGGGTGTTGTTTGTGAGCATAAAGTTCCTCAGATGGGGGGAAGCTTTCTTTAATAGCCGTTTTATCTGTTAGTACAGAATTATTACTGATGTGATGAGATTAATCCCGCCCTCCACAATTCAAACTTCTTATGGAAACAAATTCCATCCATCTTCTTCCAACCGTCCGTAAGGGTCACGGTAGAGGTGTGGCCTGGTGACCCTGGACAGGTCACCAGTCTATTGCAGGGCAGAGACATACGGGGCCAAAACTGGGATGATAATATAGGATAAGAACATCTCTGTGATCAGATACACAAACAGGACACGTTTTTCTCACCAAGTCAGAGTTTACACTAATCTCAGAAAGACTCCTTCCTTCCTATGGTGACTGGTTGTTAATGAATTCATCTGAGCCTAATCTCAGGAAAGTGGACCCAGTGTCTCATTGTGCTCGACTCTTTAGTGCTGGTTGTGGATTTCTTGTTCTCAATCATGTCCAGCTGCTGGTCTTCCTTCCTTCTTCCTTTGCAGACTTGTGCTCCTTGTATTTGAATGCTAATCAGTCAACTTCCCCCTTACCTGATCCCTCAGCCTAGCCTGCACAGGTCACTAATATAATGTAGTTTTAATTGCAGAGTGGAATGTTGGATTAAAGCAATAAGGATGGTCAGAACCGGAGCAACAATTGCTCCAATATCTACCTGAATGCTGCAAGGATTTGTAAATCACACAGGTAGGATGCACTATTTTCCCACAGGACTGTTTTAAACTGTAGAGAACTTCTCATTGTGTGGCCTTCTTACCCCGAAAATTTAAATCACACATCAGAATAAAGTGGTCCAAAACAACTATGCCATTTTTTCCACCTCTACAAACCCTTCTTCCCACTACACATTTAGTTAGGTCGAACATTTACACAAGTCCCCAGAGCAAATTGACATGCTCCTTAGCAAAACCAACAGAAGCAAAGACCAGATCAACTTTATATCTGGTAAAAGTCGTTCTTTTCTAATGCAACGGGACACGAGAAGGCAAGCAGGTAGAAAAACAAAAGCACTGAGTGGCATAAAAACTATTCAGAAAAGAAAAAAATTTTATAAAACAAGCTAGGGTACCAACTGCGGAAACATAGGTTCCTGAGATGGTGTGCAAAAAGCTTCCTCTTTTTGGGGGGCCTTGCTAAATTAGGGAAAATAAAAGTAAAAGCAGAAATTGTATTCTCACACCAGTTCTTGTTCAGACTGAAATATCAGTAAGATCTAAAATCTGTACACAAACAGGTTACATTCAGTTTAAAACCTATTAACTGCTTTCACATGAAACCAAGGAAAGGACACGTCATTTAAAATAATAGTTTTTTTGTTTTTTTTCTTTCACTTCCGTCAAAGAATGTAAAAAGATGAGCAACAGGGTTAGAGGAAAACTGTCCTATTTGTGGATTAAAGCATCTGTCAGTTATCCGTTCCTTTTACTCATTATTGTCTTCTTCTCCACCTATGAAGTGTGACCTGTTTGGTGGGAAGCTGTTGCCATGGAGATGTGAATCCAACCTGAACCTGCTGGGTAAACAAGCCTGTGGGCTACAGTTGGTCACTTGGATGCTGCTCTCTATCGCCCTCTGGTGGTTTCACCGTGTTTTGTCCAGGCGATGGTGCATGAGGTGGGTGTGCGACAGCGGGCGGGAGGGTGTGCGTGATCGGAACAGCGCTTGGTACGATGCCTTCGACCGGTGGAGGAAGGCCACCGGCTGGCAAGCTCACCACACCTGGTGGATACCTGAGAGGGGGGGAATGAAAGAGACTAAGATGGAAGCTGAACTCTTACAGTAGTAGAGAATTTTCCAGATTGGATCACAAAACATAGATATTGACCTTTGTCACTGTGGGTCACAAAACACCAACATTGGATTTTATTTACATTTATGTGGCAGAGCAACAAAAGTTAGAGCATAATTGGGAGGCAGAAGGAAAATAATGCATATACTTCACTGGTTATTAAAAAGTGAATAAAAGAAGACCTTGTCAAAAGAAAAAGAGAAATCCTGTTCATAGCTTGTCATGTTGGATACCCAGCTAATATAAAGAAAAACATGGCTTGTTTAAACTAGACCAAAATACTATGTAGAGGACATATATTACTGCAATTTATCATTATTTATTATTGTCATGCTGACAATCCTGGAAGAAAACCTGTTAAAGGTTGTAGATGAATGGAGTGTGGTTCACCTTGTAGCACAATTCTATGGATAGTTTAGATCAAAGCAGATACATGTGTTGGAATTCCAGAACTAAAATGAACTTGGAAACTGTGGCAACAGTTAAAAGCTGCTTTAATAGATGTTCTCCACCCAGAAACTAACTGGGTTTGAGATGTTTTACAAAGAAGGTTGGTCAACCATTTTAGTCTCTAGTCCCAACCGAGTATCACATCAAGGGTGCTGAGACTTTTATTTCTTAAAAAAATAAATAGATGCCATTTATGTTTTTTCTTCATTGTGTTGATCTGTCACGTAAAAAAACCCTAATAAAAATACACTGAAGTCTGCATTTCTAATAGGAGGAATATGTAAAGCGTTTGCATACTTCTTTAAAGCAGGGTGTTCTCAACCTAGCAGCTAATAAACTTGATCTTAAAGTAAAATAGTGATCATTTACTTGAATTACAGTTGGACTGCAAATCCAAAGGTGATGCAAAGAAATGTGAGAAAAAAAAGTCTTAAACCGCAGGTTGCTAATTCCAGTGCCAGCTAGTACCTATAGGCCCCGTTCAGCTCAGGGTGGACTGCAGCTGGGTCGACTGCCCAGTGGTTGTTGGGTGTGAGGAACTCCTTATTCACACAGTTCTTTAGACTGTCTGGGATACGACCTGAAAACAGACATGTGACAAAAATAAACAAATAAACCAGGGATAGAGGGTCAATGTTTTGTAAAGTCATTGAACCACTCAGAGCAGGAATAAATGACTTTAAAAATCAGGAAAGAATGAGCTACTAGGTTTAGAAATCTCTGTTTTCTAAAGAACATATATCTTTATGTACAACCCTCAGTGTAGAGCCTAAAACATGTCATGCTTTGACACATTAAGTATAGTTATTGACATGTTTATGCAACATGTTTGTTCACCAACCTGTCACAGCTCTTCGGATTTCCCTTGCTGCCTCCTCCCTCATCTCCAGAGATGCCTGCTCACTGTACCAGGCTGCGTGTGGCGTGCAGATCAGGTTGGGAGCGTCCTTTAGGGGACCCTGACTGAAGCTGTCAAAGAGCAAACAGTACTCAACATTCCTTTGTGCATGACTTTATCATTTCAACTTAAAACACCAGAGAAAAACTGTGATTTACACCCAAAATGAGCAGCATCCGCATCATGTGTAATACTTGTTTGGATTTTGGGTGATAAAGTTATCAAATGGAACAGTTTATGTTGAGGGTCTACAGAAGTTGATTGGTGGACATTTCTAGGCCTTTACTGATCTGCACAATTACAGAGGAAATTCACAATTAAAGAAGGGGATTATTTACAGTTTCAGGAAAACAGAGCAAACCTATGTTGGAGAAAATGTGGCTCACAACATAATGAAATAACGTTTCTTTAAATACATTATTTCAATGGGATTTATTTTAAAGGAAGCCAAAGCTGGCATTAGATTGATATTTTTAGTTTTTTAGGAGTTAGCTGTTAGCCAGGAAAGCTGTCAGAAGTTTACCTAATATAATGGGAACCTTCTACCACGGTAACTCAACAACAAAGGGAATGTTTTAAATCTGGGTTGGGATCAAAATTCTTTTTGTTTTAGATGCAACTAAATTGAATTAAAGAAATCATTTTATCCAAGAGTTAATTCTTATTTTTTGGGGGGCTGCAGTGAACCATATATGTGTTTGTATATTCCATCACTGTACCTTTAAAGCTAGAATTCTTAGAAAACATCTAGAAAAGTCTGCTTCCTCTTTATTAAGATATTAGACATTTATTAAGATATTAGTGGGCGTGTATATGTAATAATGTGTAGCTGAGGCTGTCTGTATTATTTCTTCACCTAAACATTTGAACCAGCATCTTAACTTATAAATCAATGAGCTGTTTGTTCTATCTTAAATCAAGCCTGAAATAATGAGTCAAATTCATCATTAAAATCCCTAAATGATGAGTAGGAATCAGTTCTTATTTTATCCAGATATAGTTGGAAGCTGATCATATGGCTTTGGTGTAAGAGTGCAGACTCGTCTCCGATGAAAACATTCCCCTTACGGATAATTTCCTTTAAATTCCTTACCTGAAAGGTTCTGTTTCATGAACATCCAGGGCGGCCCCCCGTATCCTCCCCTCCTTCAGAGCCTGAGCCAGGGCCTTCTCATCCACCAGACCCCCCCTGGCTGTGTTCACCAGGAACGCCCCCTGCCGCATCTTTAACATGCAATCACACAAAGACATGTTTATAGTTGATACGACTTCACATTGATTTAACTCAGCTTGGAGTATGAGGGTGCACCTGTTTGATGGTGAAATCGTTGATCAGGTGGTGGTTGTGCTCGTTTAGGCTACAGTGCAGAGAGACGCAGTCAGAGTGGAAGAGAAGGTCCTGAGGAGGAAAACAACCAGAGAGCACAATAAAAACTCAGTGGATAGTTTCTGCAGGATTTGTTTCATAAACATCCCTGGTTAATAGATGCAGGCCAACTGCATGTTAGCATTTAAATCATTTACACAACCATGCCTCCCGTCTGCAGGGCCTTCACTTATTGTTACAGGCCTGAGAAAGCACAGGACGGCAGAAATTAAGTCTTGTGTGGATTTACCTGCAGTGTGGTGACCCGTTGGAGTCCCAGAGATCGTTCTACGCCGTCGGCCAAGTACGGGTCGTAGAAAATCACATTGAAGCCAAAAGCCTTCGCTCGCAGGGCTACAGCCTGGCCTACCCGGCCTACAAACACAACACCAACAGGCAGTTAGGCAGAGAGAAAGAGGTGGGGCGTTTACATTTGCCTCTAGAAGTTCTCATACTGCTTAAATTAGGCACTTTATAACCATTTTCTAGAGATTGTGTTTAATTTCATATGGTTCAGGATTTAGCTTCATCCATCTTCCCATTAGTTGACTGGCTTCCCTGTCCTCACTGAAGAAAACAGTCCCTCCATCATGCTAATGCCACGGCCTTGCTTAACACAGTGCCTTTTTTATTTTAGTTTGTGCTGTAGATACGTCAGCCGTGATGCTCACCAAGCCCGATGAGTCCCAGCGTCTCTCCTCTGATCCTCGCCGCTCCTGATGCCACCTCTCGAATCTGCTCAACGCTCTGAACTCGCGTTCCTTCCCGCAGAGCCTGACAGGAACACAGATTTACCATCACTTCCCAGAACCAAGCGGACACCACAGTCACATCGTGATCCAGCTGTAATTCATTGACAGGACTGTGCACCTTATTGTGATGAAGACTAGAACACATGGGTCTATGCAATGATTTGAGGAACAAATCATTTTACTGTACCTTCTACACTTTACATCAACGTCTTTCAAATACAGCCACATTCTAAAGAAAATGAAATGGTTCAATTTTGCTTATATGTCACTTGTCAGAGATGAGTTATTACTTATTGTCGAAACTAAAAACGGTGAGGACCAAATGCACACCTCCGACAGATCGACTCAGAAGGAGTTGACTGAAATCTCCTTACAGCAGCGTCTGTTATCTGGGCTGCAGAGCTACAAACCTGGTGCAGCCAGGTGGTGCGTCTGTACAGGGTGAGGATGTGACAGAGCGTGGAGTCTGCTGTCTCCTCCACTGATGCTGCTGGCATGTTACATACAGCTATGCCTGTTGGAAAGGAAAGAAAGTTCCGGTTAGTTGAAGCTTTATTTAGGCTGTCTGTGTTTGGCGTCTGTAGAATATTAAACAAAGAGTTGTGATGTTATCGCAGGATATTGCAACCGACTACATAATTATTGCAGAAAGTTTCAGATATTTTTCTCTCCATCATTCTCTCTGTGTCTCAGCCACAGTCTGTGAGCTGCAACATCTAAGTCCCTCAGATCTGCATCAAGCCAAGGCATCCATCAGATGAAGATCATTTAAATAAAAAACAGAATAAAAGTTTAATTAAAAGCAAAATCTAAAAAAAACTAATAATGACAGCGAAGGTTAAGCTACACCACCTGTAAATTTCTGTATTATTCAAAAACAAAACAAAAGGAAAACAGAAGTGTGTTGATTTGCCTCACACTTTCACTGTGGAATAGAGGTTTAAGGTTGAATCTATTACCACAAAGAAACTAAAACTGATTTGAGAACTCATTCTACTGAACAACATGGCAACAACTAACGCCTTAATAAAATTTATAAAGTACAAATAATATCTGCCCTGGGTTCCTCACATTTGTGGACTGTCAGGAAACAAAAACAATCTTGTCCAAATTCAGTCCTCAGGGCTGCTATCTGCCAGGTTGAAATTGCACTTCAAGAAAGAAAAACAGCAACAGCAGATTCCGAAGCTAAGCTGAGCAAAAAAGTAACAAGTAACTAGCAGCTTCATCGAAATATAGTGGGGTAGAAAGTACGATATTTGAATCACATGTTGAGTTAAAGTTATAGCTACGCCCCACAAAAAAATCACTCCAGTAAAGCTATTCAAAAAAGTACTTAAGTACAGTAATCAAGTAAATGTACTTTGTTACTTTCCATAAAACCAGCCATTTCAAATGTAACATTAAAATCATGAAATTTGAAAAAATCTAATTTAAAAAGCATTTTCTAATTGTACATTTTCAAATCCTTTTTAATGTTTTCTTTTTGCTTAAACCACTCCATTTAACATTAAACTGAAAACAGAATTAAACCAACCACTGCTCTCAGATGTAAACGGCTTTCTCATTGGCTACACTTTCACAGTTAAATCACAACACTAAGAAGAAACAAATTTATGATTTTTGTTTTTTAAGAAATAGGAATTTAAAATAATTTTTCAAATTTCAGTATTTAATGATCAATTTATAGATACAACTTATAATTCCTCTTAATTTATTTTAAAAATGTACAATTAAAAACACATTTGTTTTATTTACTATAAAATGAATAAAGAGTGAAATTAAGTGTGTGACGCTGTTAGTTTTGAGGTCACAGCCTGAAATGTTTGGGAAGCTCTAGTCTAACGCTGTAGCAGCGCCTGATTAGCATGTTTGAGCCTGCGTGAGGTTTGTACCGAGCTCTCCGGCAGATTTGATGTCTATGTTGTCGTAGCCACTGCCGATGCGAACGATGATGCGCAGCGCTTTAAACTTCTCCAAGTCTTCCCTCATCAGAGTGATTGTGTGATACATCAGAGCCCCTACAGCTTCATTGAGGACCTGCAGACAAAAAGCAGACAGCCGATAACACCTGATTCAGGAACACTTGTGTTACAGGAGGTCATTTCCTGACGACATTCCTCTAATAGAAAAGGTGTGTCAAACAGTGGAGACATTTTTCTCAAACCTTTGTTGCATTTTTATTAGTCAATCAACCTGTACCTGAATAACATAATGGTTTTATATGTATAGATTACAGTTGAGGATGTTTTTTTCTTTGTGAACCTTAGATGCACAGAGAACAACTTCCACAGATCCCTCCTCCCAGTTGCATTAAACTGCATAATCTTCCCTGTTCCCCATAGGCCCAATAAACATTTCTACAACCAGAATTATCACAGAAGTTTTACATTCTTTGATCCAGGATCCAGAAACCGCCTCTGGTTCGTCTCAGGGACGCCCGAAGCATCCCAAAACCAGCAGAGAAACATCGTCCCTCCTCTGTGTTTTTTTCTTTTAAACTTAAACATTCCCAATTTTCTACCAGTAAAAGCTTTTATATTAAAAAACACACTATATTGTATGATATGTTTTATTTCTTCTGCACAGTTTAGCTTTTGAAATTGTTTTCTTCGTCATATAATTTATCTGTGGTTTTTACCTCTAAGCTTCCTTCTGTCCAATTGTGCTGCACTGTTCACCGACACATTTTCTCACTAGGTAAATAAATATATTCCATTCCATTCAATTTATCAACTGCAGATAAAACTGTCTGTATCTGGCAATAGTCACAATCTCCTAATTGAGACTGAAGTATAGCAACTAAGGCATTAATTTAATTCACAAACAGAACAGAAAGGCAACTGTGTAAACCGCTTTAACTCCCTCCTTTAAATTGGTTCCCAGTTATCTGTATGATACTGTTCTAACGAAGTCAGCCCACTGCTTCTTGTTTGTGTAAAGGATTAAAAACGACATGTGGTTCGGTTATAGTAAAGAACCCCCTTTTAATTACTCTGCTTCATACGCAGCCAATAAGAGAGCAAGAGGCTGAGCCATCTGTTTCTCCCATATTGTGGCCTACTGATCACGCTCCCAGAGATGGTGGGCCTGGCAGACACCAAGAACATAACCCTGCCAGACATACAAATCCATTTACCATCCATGTTGGCTGTTCAAGAACAGAACATGACCCACATTTGAAGTTTCTGCTTTTATTTCCTCTATCCCTTGGTCTCTTAGTTTCTTCCTTTACACCAATTTAGTTCAATGTTTGATATCCTGATTCTGCATTCAAAGAGTAACATTGATATATCATTAATGTAGCAATAATAAAACTTTACTGACTGCACCTTTTCTCTCCATAGGGAATCAGTTGGTTACAGCAAAATAAGACTATCTAAGCACTGTTATGGTCAAGAACAATCAACCAGGTTTATTTGAGTAACTTAAGTAAAAGTCAAGTAAAAAACTGTAAAACTGAGCATCCACATCACCACAAAGATGCATGGGCTTTATACTCAAGGACAGGAGAAGTGCAAAAATATTTAATGGCCAGACTCTGAGAACCAGCTCTTATTTATCTGCTGCAGCTGCAGAAAGCAGATGTCCTTCAGAGAGGCAAAACAGAGAAACCGATTCCACACAGAGCCAATAAACTTGATGAGGTTAAAAAAAAAGCTATTAACTACAAGTTAAACACAGTCCTAAAACTTTGGTAAGCATCAACATATTCCTCTGCAAGACGAATGTGTTTTATTTTCTTTCACTAGCAGGAAGTTTGAAAGTTTTGGAGTCTTTTAAATGAAATGGATACACCAGCAAGATTAATAAGAAGAGACATCTGGCACTGAAAATAATAATTATTCATAATATGAATAATCACAGATTGTGCAAACAGGTAAAACAGATGTGTGGAGCTCTTTATTGGGACCTATCTGATGTTGGCAAACATGCTGTAAGATGAACAGGAGAGAGCAGAAAGTGTTGGTCTTTGTTCTGCTGTGGAGATGAAGCCTGAATTCGGTTCTCAAATGTTCGGATTATTGAGTGTCGGGAAAAAAAGCAGAAACTTCAACAATACCTGATAGACCCCATTGTTTACCCAGTGAGTCCTATGATTAATTATTAGGTCTTGAGTTGTTCGAGTTTCACTTTTAATGCTGCCTTCTACCTTAAACACCTCTGAATGTGTGTTGATGGTTCAGCGGGAGCCTTACCTTCTCGTGGATCTCCTGTGTGGACTGGGCGTCACAGAAGGCCACCGTTGCTACATCTTTTAGGATGGGCATCTCCACTGTGCAGTCTCTGCCATCCAGCAGCGCCACCAGGGGGCGTGGGTGCATGGGCCCGTTCATAATGGGGGGTCTGATTCCTAACATGAAAGAAAGGAAGAGATCCTAACTCAGGAGAAGACTAGAGGGGTTTTAACCAGAGTTGCTCCTATCCCATACCTGGATCAGATTTCTGCTCTGATATTGGCTAATTAGCTTAATCTGGGATTTTATATTGAATATCCAATCCAGTGTACTTTGCATGAAAAAATTTATTTCTGAGGAATACATCAAATCAAAATTCAAAGGTGGGTTGCTTAGTCTGGTGTTTTACGCCTTTAAAGTGACAAAAGTTGAAATGAGCGCACAGAAACAGGTCCACATGTGAGGAGGAGCGCGTGCGTAGAAAAACAACCATACGCGCACAGAGAAGGAACAAGCACTCAGGTGTGGGAAATATTGGGGCTCTGTGGGACTATTTGCACATTAACCTTTTAAACACACGCACAAGGAAGCGTTAATGTGTGGCCTTATGAAGTAAAGAAGCTTGTAGGAGTATTTATTGCGTGTGTGGACATTTAGCAGAAACCTGAGGGCCATAGAGTCGGGCTTAGGAAGCATAGTTGTGAAGCTGGTTTGGAAATCCATGATATCAGATCAGAATGAAGTTCTGATTAGATGATACTGTGTGTTCCTCTGTTATCAACCTGCTGTCTGAGTCCATTCATTAAACTCCTCACCTTTATGTCCTTGTTTTCTGCTTCTGTCTGTTGGCAAACAGATAAAGTCCACAGTAGCCTTCCTAAAAGCTCTGCAGAGCCTTTAGTCACTTTGACCCGATGCTCCCAGGAGCATAAAAGTACATTTTAATGCCTATCCTCTGTCCTACTCCCTGAATGACTTTTAATGTATCTCTCCTGTCCTACCAGACCTTCAAGAGGGGACCAGCTTGGTGCAGATCTATCATCCTGTCTCCACAGGAGGCAAAGCCGCTTAGAGAACCACTTCAAATCCAACTGAAGATTCTGTACATTAACTTCAAGAGAGTTTGGGACTTATTGTTTGGAGATATGATGTATATGATGTATGAAGTTTCATGTTTCATTTCATTTCATTCATAGAGTGAAACTAAAGACTTAATTTTCTGTAATTTCAGTGATTTTGGTTTACAGATAATTTAGTGTCCACGCTACTGTGAGATGAAAACTATAGCAGGTGAGGACATCCAGGGCAGGGACAGCCTATTCAACCGGATAGGAGACACTGTCACTGTATCAGCCTACTGCAGATGTTGATGCATATCTGGAGAACAGACGTCCACGTGATTAGAAATCAGACCCGAATCTGTTATTTATGAATTAAGAGTGAGCCCTCCTGCCACTTTTTCATCTAAAGAGGTATTTAATTATCAATTAAGGTCAAAAGGTTACCCTGAAAGAGCTGTTAGGTCCTGAAGAGTTAAAATAATTGATGGTGTCAAATGGCTCCTCTCATGGGTCATTGTTTATAACTAATTTTCTTTAAAAATTTACCTCAACCGTTCCAAATTCCCAACCCGCGAAACAAATGTTCAGATTCAGAAAATAATCTTCTGACTCTATAACTTGCAGAGGTTAGACAGCCTCCTTGGTTTCTGCTGATACAGACGACTGTCTGCTGACTTTTCCTCCTCTTCTCTCTGTCATGCAGGCTGACATCTTCAATAAATAACTCTGTCTGTCATTTCACTCAAAATGTCTCCCCTGAGATGTCGAGGAACCTAGAGATGGACACATACCCGAGAGTAAAGAATAAATCTGTCTAGAAAAACCTTTTTGGTGTGCAGAATATTGGATGCGCGGATCAGAGGCCTGAGGTTTGGTAGCTCTATTCCTGTAAATTGGGCTGGATTATACTAGAAAAGAATGCATCCAGACAATATCAGCATAAAGTCAGAATGCAGTGTTCCTAAACTATATCGCTGTAGTGATGATAGTGGATCAGTTTGTCTTCAGCCCTAATAGTTCTACATTTTCCTGTTTTCCGTTTAATCTAACTTCCTGCCCCTAATGCATACATTCAGCCGTACATTTAATCAAAGCAGAGTCCAATAAACACTTAAACCATTCAAGAGTAAGAAATTAATCCCGACTCTCAGCTGATTTGTTTTTTTGTATTAAGTTAAACCAGTAATTAAGCTTTTTTTTATCCTCTATGTTGTGTCTTGTGTTGCTGCAAATAGTTTTAGGCTGGTAGCATATTCTCACGGTGTGATCACCATGATTAAAGATTATAGAACAAGGAGCGGCTCCATTGATTGTCTAGTTGCGATTAGCAGAATATACATTGTAAATTGCATTTTTTCCTCCTGTTCATTAAATGCACTGATAAGTTGATGTTTGTATGCACAGGTCAGATGAAGGTTAATGAAACATGTCTGGATGTATAAATGGTGGAATAGTCTGAGATAGTCCTGCAGGAACTTACTGGTTTCTAGAATTTGACATGAATAATCCTAATGATCCACTTCCTGTCAAATTTAAGGATATTAAAAAAAAGATTCGAAACAGAAACTTTTCATAAGATCTGCTGGAAAAAAAAAAAATTTTTCACAGCCCTTGTAGATTAAGGGTTAATGGCTTTCTTTGTCCAGACAGTCAAGACCTTAATCTAATCCAGAATCTGTGGAGGGAGTTAAACATTAGGGTGATGGAGGACCTGAAAGACTTTGACCTCTTCATCAAAGATAAATCATTCAAACACCAAAGAAAACATCCAGGAAGCTGTTAGTACAGAGGGTTTGATCGCTGGGATCAAAAGAAAGCTTTGTTTCACCTATTTTTGAGAAAGGGATACATATATTTTGGAATAATATAAATTAAAAAAAGATACTTATTATTTCAAAATCGATCTGCTTTCCTAGAAAGAGCACCTAGTTGACATTTACCTTTTCGAACCTAAGAAGTATTTATTGTTCAGTGCCTCCATGCTACTTTTCCATCTCTGCTTCTGTCTTCTTGACAGGACCACCTCAGCTTCCCTGATCCCGCTAACCAGAGTTGATGGTCTGCTTGAATGCAGAGATCATGTGAGCTCAGGTGCCTTTTTCTCTGTAGTTAAATTTATATTTGAACTTCCTTCTCTTCATTTCCCAGCTAAGGTTTGCTAAAGAACCAAGAGCTTTAACAGTGGATCAGTTGTTTTTCCCTGGCGGCATTGTTGTGCCAACATGTCTGACTTTCTATCCTGGATTAAAGCAAATAGAAACTCACAAAGAACTGGTTGACACCGCTTTCTGCTTAGCGTTGCAACACCTTGACAACTTGTCAGATTTTAGATGAAGCTGAGCAGATTGGGTCTCTGCAGTGTTCACAGTCTGCTGTGGTATAACATCAGCAGGATCCGCCTCCATGTGGTTGCACTTGCAAGTCAGTATGCTGCCTTTCTAACTGAGTGGGTGCTGCACAAATGTTCCTTCTAACAATCGGTTCATGTAAACTGAATGGAAACACCTGGAGGCCCGGTTTGTTTCTAAACTCCTGCTTTCAGATTAAACAGGCAGGATATCAGCTGCATGAAATAATCCAGCTCCCTCTGCTCTACCGTCAGGTGAGAAGTTTCTCTAACAGATTCCACAATGGGAGAGAGGGAAGAAATAACTCTCATTCCAGCTCTACAGACGGCTAATTCTAACTTCATAATAAAAACACCCTCCTGCATCACACTGCACTGTAGATATTAACCCTCCCTCTCTAAATGCTTACACGGAATAACCTCAGCAGCTATTAATTGTGTATTTCCCTTTTCTTTTCACATTAAACACTAATCAAGTCTTTATTGTCCAATTAATTTTTTCCCTTTGTCCATAAAGCTGTTTTCTATTCATTCATTCCTTCCTTCCTTCTTCATTATTTGAAATACTCCAGTGCACAGAGGGTGGTGAGGGTCCAACTGCTGGGATTATTCACAGAACGAACTGTCCTCTTGACGGCCTCCAACTTCAGCTCTGGTTCTGCTCTCCAGACAGCTTCTCTGTGCAGCTGTAGTTGGATTCAGGCTCCATCACAGGAGTGTAAAGCATTTGGAGCCGAAGCAGATTTTTAGAGAGGGGGCCATGCCATGACATTTGTTCTAAGAAAACCGACCGAGTGCTTTCATTTTCTGACATTATAAAAGCCAACTTTAATCTTAATGTTTTGCTGGAATTTGTATTGACTGACTCCTCTTCATGCTGCTCCAGTTTTAAATATTCTAGGGTTTGTTTCTCTCTGCTTTGTTCACCTACAGACTAAAGTTTTTTTCCCATTTTAGCTCAGACTATGACAGGTTGAATGAAAAGTATCTGTGAGCATCAGTTGTGAAGTCCAGCCACTCTTTATGAGTAGAATTTAGGTCTGTACTTTGACTGGGTCATTCTTAGGAATAAATCTCAGGTCTTCTTCAGCCTAATTTTCATCCAGGATTCTCCTTTATTTAGAAATTCCTTAAAACTTCCCATCACATATCCCCAGAGCATGATCCTGCCACCTCTGTGTTTTACCCCATAGTTGCTGTGTTAGAGTGGTTTCCTGTGTTTAAGTTTTATCCATTAATTTTTCAATGTTAAGATTATTTTCTCCCAAATGTTTCCAGTAGGAAACAGTGCTTGTTTTTGCCACTCTGACTTAAAGGCCAGATTTAAGAACTAATGGTTGTTTTGGTGGATTCTTCCAATTGAGCTGTGGTGCTCTGCAGCTCCTCCAGGTTACTTTAGGCCTCCTGGCTTCTTCTGAAGTTTATTTCACTCACATTTTTCTATATGAATCTGGGTAGAAAGGCTGAGTGCTAAAGAACACCACTTATCACGTTTTTCCATAAAAAAAAATAAAAAAAATCCCACAAAATCAAGTTCATGTCTACATCTTTCTGTGTCAGTTGTTCACAGACGATACAGCTAAAAAATAGCCAATTTTCGGGTTTAAAGGAAAAAGAATCTAACAAGAATAACAATGGATCAGTTCTTAGGCAACGCTCTGTGAGGACAGATTAAATTCAACTCAGTTTATTTTTATATTTTCATTTCACAAAACATAAGTCATTTTAAGGCCCTTTACTGATACAATTCAACCAAATCCTGCAGTCAGATTGGTTTAAAGGTTTCTAAGGAAACCCAGCTGATTGAATCCAATCAATGACTTTGCAGGATTCGCTCCATTTCATTTGCATTGCGTTGTTGACTCTGCATCAATCCTCACAGCGAGCATACATGCATCAACAGTGGAGAGGAAAAGCTCCCTTTGAACAGGAAGAAAGCTTCAGCAGAACAAGGCTCAGTGTGAGCGGCCGGATACTGGAAGATAGACCAAAAAAATAAATGGCCCCTAAATTATATATTCTGACATGACTGATTTTAATTATATACCTGCCTAATATAGGTGCTAATTTACCTCTTTATGCCTTTAAATGCCAGGTTACTGTTACCAATCTACTTTAGTGAAGGCGTAGTGAGCTGGGATCACAAATGTTTTGATGTTTTTCCCTGATTCTCCTTCTAGAAACAAGGTCAGACATGTTCAGTGCAAATTGACTGAAAGTGGAGCTTTGTCAGTAATGATGATAATCATGGTTACCCCCCTTTCCACCCTTTGTGTGTTGTTCCCTCGCCATCAGATCTCTATCTCTCCTGGCTTTGTCACTATTTTTTTTTCCTTTTTGTCCATCTGTCAATAACCAAAAACCCTTCATGTTTATATAAAGAGAGGTGCACGCACTCTAGGAAAACATGGAGTCCTTCCTTCTGTTGCTCCCACACCTCTGTTTCATCCACAGCAGAGAGGAAAAACCACCACCCCCACAACTAGTCCTCGTTCCTTCCTGTCCTCACACCTTGCCCCACCCATATACAGGAGAATAGAGCTGCATTTCCGTGCTTGTTGACACACACCTTGACATCTGATATAGAAGTGCGTACACAATCACCCCGCAGGTCTCCTTCCCACCCAGGCTCCTTAAAGATCAGCTTCAACAAGCTGCTTCAGGTTCAGCAGGCTTTTGTTCCCACCAGTGTCGGCTACAGGGCCATAATTTGGCCTCAAACTCTGTTCTCCTTTTTTCTAGGTGCAGAAATCAGAAACAAATGGAAATAGGTCGAGCTCAGAAAGCAGAATGTTTGTGCAATGGAATAAAAATACTGCAAAGAAGCAGCAGCTGGGTGCTTCAGTACTTCATAAATCAATAAAGCTGAGCAGCAGCAGGACTGCAGGAAAAAGGGAAATGTTTAACTGATAGGCTGGTTTAATATTTTAGCCAATCAGAAGAGGCATCCCCACTTGGCTATTGTCTTCGGTTTCCTGACTGTTATGGCTCAGCTTATGTTAAACATGTCAGAAGTTGAAGAAGTACTTCCTTATACAATACTTGTACTACAGGAAACACCCCAGTTCTATTTGGATAACAGCCTGAATGATTTAGGACATAGTGCTGCTCTTAGGGAGGCTGTGATTTAAAGCATGTTATATATTTAGGGTAACATGCTAATCTTGCATCATTTCAATAAAGTTAATGGCTCTTTCAAAAATGAGGCATGGAAATGTCCTATTTAAAAGCAATATTCATTATATAAAAGGCTCTACATTCCTAGGAGTTTGTTTTCAGTGCTGCTTTGAGGTTTTCCAGAAATTTTCCAGACGGAGCTGTGATTTTCCTGCCTGCAGCTTAGCAAAAACTCCAGAAGCTAACCGAGTGTGACTGTGCGTGAATTAAGAAAATATGCCTGAGCATGCACAGAACAACTGCTGCTTGTTTTCATGGTTGCCTCACCTGCCTGTTTACTTTGTGTTTGCTGGGAAATATTGGGAAGGTTTTGACTTCCTTGCAGAAGGAACGTCTTGCACTGCACCCTGCAGCAAATGTTTGAATGAAAACAGTTGAGATGGTTTAACTCTAGTGAACACCTGGTGTTTGTGTGTAACAACAAGGCTGCAGCAGCTTTTAGATAAACAGCTTCTAGTTATTTCATCAGCAGTTTTATCTGACTCACCCGTTTAGATAAACAACAACAAAGCAGAGAGTCAGGAAATCTGTGCTCTCTATAATAATCATCATGACCTGCTGACTAATAGATGCTACTCTCTAGACCTGTTATTTTCTCTACATAATAGTCCCAAAATGTCTAGACAGCCATGCCTCTACTTATAGCTTTCTATCTAAATAACATTTAAGTGTTTTTCTTTGTAACAAGGATCAAATGCAGGTGGTTAGAATATTAATTCAAAAATAATCTCTAATCAGAGATCATGATGGGTTTAGGTTTCTCATAGCTCCCAGCAAAATGGTCAGGCCTGCTGTGAAAACTTAACCTAAATGTGCAGCACTAATTAAGGTCCCACCAGCTACAATATTTAGGAACCAAATATTAAAAAAAAAAAAGTAAAACTGATAAAACAGAGGCAGAAAAATTAAACTGATAAAGCACAACCGACTCCACTTCACCAGTTGATTTTCAACAAGACTTCATAAACCTAGGAGAAAGACCAGCATACCTCCCTGCAAGAAAATCCAGTTTCTGCATATAACTGTGAAGTAAACCCTGTGAGCCCTGGCTGCTGTCTCCTAATCTAAACCAGTGTAATGTTATTTAAAAACAGACATGTCACCCAGCAGTTCCTTTCCCGACTTCTGAAGGGGACAAGATGAAGCCTCCAGGAGGGAAACAGCCTGGAGACATCCAGCACGAACACAGAGCTGTGTGAACAGGCCCAACGAGCTGCTGTCAGGATGAAGGCTAGAATCACATGTTAGTTCTTCATCACACAAATCTGATTCTGTGGATGTGATGAAATGACATCTGTTTATGTTGTCAGTCTTGATCTTTTTGCAGTCGGATCAAACCTGTCCCCCACGGAGATCAGGCCGAGAACAGATCATACCTACAGTACATCTTCTCCGGTAGAAACAAACACCATGACTGGATCAGACTGATTTACACATACGTCTTCCTAAACCATCACTCCTTGTTCTTTCTCCTGCAACACTGGGCTATTTTTGGCGAGGTGCTTTTCAAAACCGATAGACGGAGGCAGTTAAAAGTAGATCTGATGCTTTAACTCTGATGCGATGAAGAGATCCCTGCTTTGATCATTTATCTTCACACCGACCCCCACCTTCCACCGATTCCTTGCAGCCCTACCTTGATCCAAGGATTTCTAGAATAGTCTTTTCCAGCCACCATCACAAGGTGCATTTATCACTTGTGTGTAAACGTCAGAGCGCGCGGTTGTGCCTGGATCCATGTGCCAGTGGAGTTCACGTGCACGTGAGTCCGAGCAGACCGTAAGCGTGTGCACTTTAGGGAAGCACGCTCCATAAAAGAAGCACAATGAGAGGGAAATATGTGTCCTTGCTAGCCCTCAAAGGAGAGAGAGATCTATTTCTGTCGCTTTGAGTAGAGGTGGTGGAGCAGCCTTCAATAGATAGATTTTCCCTTCACACACACAAACACAGAGGGCTTCAGAGAAAAGGCCAAGCGTTCCTTTTCTGTGAGCGATAAAACAGATAACAGTGTGAGAAAGACTTGAGAGGAGGAGGAGACAGAAAAAGAGAGGGAAGGGGGAGGGGAGACTGAACTGAAGGTAGAATAATGTACAACCAGTTCACTCACACACACACACACATATCTGTGCACATAAAAGCAGAGCGCTGTTGGTTTACCTAGAGGCATGCCTTTGTTGAGGAGATGTGAGCTTCCCATGGCGTGTTCCCCAGCCGGCCAGCACTCTGCACACACATGAACAGGAATCCAGTCAGCATATGGCGGCTGTGGCCAGCTACCTCACTTCCCTCAGTCCTTCTCCCAGCCCCTCAGTGACAAGCATACACATGTGCTCCCCCTTTTTTCTCTCGCTCCCCTCCCTTCCGTCCCCTCCCTCCCTCTCTAGCTACCTCCCTCCCCTTCCTTCCTCACTTTCTGCCATAGAGAATCTCTCCTCTCCGTTCCCTACTTCAGCCTCGATCACACATATGGAAAAAGAAGAGAAAAAGCATACAGAGAGAGTTTAGGAAGTGCTGCATTCATGGGAACGGAAGGGTAAAAGAGATGGATGGGGAAGTCACAGGGCAGGGTGTGTGTGTGTGTGTGTGGGGAGGAGCCAACAAGGGCCAAAATTGATCTTTTGTTTCCTGAAAAACGACAAAAAGGAACAGAGTGGAGTTCAGCAATAACGAGGGAGTAAAAAGAGGCAAAACTGGTTCTGATGATGTCACTTATCTTGAAGATCATCACCCCTAAATGGTAACCATGAAGAACAAATCAGAAAATAGGGTTAGACATGATTGAATTTATGAAGCATTTACATGAATAAAGCAGATTTGTGGCCCTGTGCTCATACTGTGGTACACAGCAGTGTAGTGGTCCCTGGAGAAGTGGGTATACTCTCAATCTTTTTTAATGTAGCCCAGAAACAAGGACATGTAAAACCGCTCTATGTTGTTTATCCAAAAATTCCTTTGTACTATTTACTTAATGTTATCTAATTTCTGCAATTTGATCTCAGGGAGGTAGGATTATGAAATAACTAAACACTGTCCTACATACTAGTGAGAGACAATTATTACATCCACATGGATGACACTTTTTCTCTCACTTAGCAAGTCAGTAGTTTGTTTTGCAAACTGTCTCTTTGAACAGCTGATATGCAACAGTTAGAGTGGGCCACTATTAAAATTAACCTAACTTAATCAGGAGCAGTTTGTTGGTATTACTGGTCACACAGACAGCCTGCATGGATATAAAACACAGATCATACTGTTTCAGTTATTTTTCTAAACATTTATTTAAATAAAACATGTTTACTTGACATCCTTGTTCATATTTCTTCTTATATTTAAAAATAAAATGCATCAAAACCAGACGGATAAACTGAAAAGTTGATAAACTTTTAAAATTGAAATAAACTATTATAGTATAACTCATATATATGTATGAGCAAATATATATAGGCCTATATGAGTGTATATATACAAATATGTCTATATATATATATATATATATATATATATATATATATATTCCACATAAAAGATACATTTATTGTCTCCCAAACCAGTACTGACATGTTATTATCATTTACGAGGTAGAACAAAAAAATAACCCACGTGCACCTAGCATAGTTGACGTCTTCATCCAAAGTTCTATCGGCATCTTTGGCAAAGGGCGCCTTCCTCTTTACTGACAGCAGCTGCGTCTCAATTCGCAGGCTGCGTCCTCTTGTCCAACAGGGATGGGGGGGCAGAGCGGGCCTCGACGTTAGGCTAACGGTGTAGCATCGCTAACATTAGCTGAACTGCTGGCTAATGTTCATTCATGAGGACGTTTGTAATTAGAGAAAAAAAGTGTTGTTTGACTAGCTGGCTTCATATTACCGATTCATTTCAAATCCTAAAGGAAAATCAATGAAAGTAAACTTGTTAATGTTATTTATTATGTGAGCAATATTGAGCTCAGCATGGACCTCCCATATCTGCCTCCGATTGGCTCACTGGTCGTCATGCCTACAGTTAACCAATGTAATCAGTAGAGGCTGTGAGTATTAGCCAATTAGAGGCAGAGTACCGCAGGTGATGCTTTCACCAGCCTAGGGAAAAATAGGAGATTTTGGCTTCTGCCTAATTAGCTGCTAATAAACTCCAAACGCCTGTGGTTTTCTAAGGCTTTAATTGGTCTCAGTCTGGGTCAGTAGGAGACACCATCTTGGAGAAAACGTCTGCTGAACGGACATGTGTCCAGAGGACAGTCAATAACCTCTCCTCTAAGAAAAAACTCCTAACGGTCATCACTAAAGTAGCTGGTTGTTCAAAGAGGTCTGTATCTAACAATAGTGTTACCAGTGGCTGGTAAACTGTGGCTGGAAAACGTTCATCGACATAAGGGATAAGTAGAGTTTTGAAAGGTTTGTCAAGAAGATTGAAATAGGGAAACTTAACAATAGGACGAAATCAGGTTCCACCAGGCATGGACGGTCCAACACATGGACTACTAGAGTCCTACAAGACTGAGGAGAACGAGAACCAGAATGTTACTCAGCGATCCAAAGTCTTCTTTAACGATAAAGAAAAGTTTAAATTATGTTTGAGATTAACGTTGTGCTTTAAGGTTTATAACTGGTAGTAGACGTTTGATATATCCTTGTGATTTGTATGCAAAAACTGATTGGCCTCCTTTAAGTGTTCGGAGAAACAATCATTTGATGATCCTAATATATAAATCTCTTCTTGGACTAACACCAACATACTTAAGCTCTCTTTTGCATAGATCTAGTTGTCCACATTTTTTAGGCTCAAATGTCTTTATTCTTCTACATGTTCTTTGTTTTCGAACTGATAAAGGAAAGAAAGCATACGGTGTGTTGGCTCCTACAGCGTGGAATCAGCTCCAGTCTGAGCTCAAGATGTCAGACAATATTTCATTGGATTTATTTCGAGCGGTTCGTAAAGATAGACAACAAGCTTCTATGAAACAGTTTCACTGCTTTTAAGAATTTTTTATTGTTTTATATTTGTGCATATGTATTAATTGATTTTTTTTAACCAGGTTGCAGTGTATTGCAGATCTCTGCCCAGGTCCCCCTTGAAAATGAGATCCAGATCTCAATGGGGTTTACCTGGTTAAATGAAGAAAAAAAAAAAAAAAACAGAATCAGTGTTTCTTCAAGCCCAGCATGAAGTTTCCTGTCAGCGAGGATTTAGGGAACCAGTCATCTACTGATTCTGATCGACTGGATTTTCTGCAGTCAACAAAGGGATCTACTGATATTTCAGATCGCCTACTTCTGCTGACAAGCTCGGTACCGACCCAATGACCCTGGAGAACCACATGAAGAATCTACGGAATCAAGAGGAAGATTGGAGACACCAGAACCAACAATGCAGATGAGGTAAAGGCGGCTATTAAAGCTAAATGGATTTCTAAAACATGCATATATGTAGATAAAAAACAAACAAACAGTTTTGACAAAGTTCTCCCCAAATAATGCACCACTTCCTGTTGATCTCTAAATCAAATCTCATCAAAATGAAACCTTATTTTCTGCTGTTAGTGTTATTTGGAGACGATAATGTGTTTATGTCTTTGCAGCACCGAACTCCGATATTAACATGTAAGGTTACTCAGGTCCCTCCCTGTTCTCACTCAGTGTCTCCTCCCCCAAAATATCATCTTCACACCTTCACCTGCTGCTCCCACCATTCTGTCTTCCTTCCCTCCCAGTCTCAGTCTCACTCCATCCCCCTTTCCCCCAAACCTCTCCCTATCTCCGTCTCATCATCCATCTCCCCCCTTCTTCTCTCCCCTCTCTGTAGGCACTGCAGCGTGTCTAATGGTTCTGCTCCTTCTCAGCAGATCCACACTCAGCAGCAGCCTCCAAACCGCCGGCCTTATCAGAACCGACAGCCAGTTAGACCTGGAGCTATCACCCACCCACACCCACACAAGTAATTAAAACTGTGAGTCTGCACAACAGAACAGGCATCCCCAGAAGCAGCTGCACAGAAAGCTGATACATTGTTGTGCACATTGAAATACAGTTACATACGCAAGATGCTGCAGCCAGGAGTCTGCACTAGAATGCAAAAGAATGCATGTGTGTGCAACTTCAACACGCCAGAGTCTCAAACAGCCAAACACACCAGGCAAATTGGATTTATGGATACCAACACTGAACTGCAGAACAATGTGGATGCCTTTACAGATACTGCAGAGCGTGGATATCTAATGTGCTGTAGGGGGGAGGCGTCTCCTCTTGCAGGAGGGAAGGCAGGGAGGAAGAGGAGAGGAAGCGAAAGTCTGATATGAGAGACAAAGGGATTGGCAACATATTGAGAAGAAGAAGGGCAGAAGATAAGAAGGAGGGACAGGATTCATGTCCACTATTTGAGGAAATATAGAACTCAAGACTCAACAAAGCTTTAACACAATTGCTTTGAAGCTTTTACTTTGGTATAATCAGTTTTCTATAATCTCATACAGTCAGTGTAAAACAACTTTATATCATGTAATATTTCATAGCATACACTAATATAGGGAGATTTTAAACAAGGTTAAACATCTTGTGTTAGCGTTCAGATAGTAAATAGACAGAATCTAATGACAGCTAAAAATCAAAATTTTGTTAAACTTTTTTTAAATAAATAAGACAACTCAAGGACGCCTTAACAAAGCTCTTACTGTTTTTCCTCCCAGTGAGTTTAGACACCTGGGATGGCACAGCTCACCAACCTTGAACATTATGACCAAATATTATTTAGGATATAGATGTATACCTGGAATATTTCAAAGCTTTAAGATTCAGCAACAGGGAGAAATTAAAATCTCAAAATGATAAAACTTTGAAAAAGCATCTGTAATACCTTTAGCATTCTATTATCAGCTGAAAATCTTGTAAATCTCTCAGCCTAAAGAAAATGTGGTAGGAAATGTTTGTTCTTCAAGGAAGAAGAGAGGTCATTGATAATGAAACTCTGTAAAGATTGTTAGGATTATTATTATTTAATGATGTGTGAATCTGTTAAACCCTAATATTACCTGCCTGTTGGGGTCAGTTTATTTAATTGGGACAGTTCCTCCTTCCAGATATGCAGTTATCCTCTTTATTAGGTATGTGGCATAGATTTGGGAATGGAATGAGAGCGGTGTCCTTGATCTAAGAATAATTTGTAATATTTTGATACGACTAGAACCATGGATGTCTCCTCAGCTGCAAACATCTATGATGTACACAGAAGAGCTAGATGTGTATATATTTATCTTTTTATTCTTATTTTTTATCTTTATTATATTGTGTAGTTGGATGTGTGTATATACATATAAAACTGTAACTGGAGCATGTAACAAAAGCAATTTCCCTCTGGGATTATTAAAGTGAGATGCTGTAACCCTATACAACTTCTCTAATCTGAGTAAGATTGCAATTTATGTCAAAATCATGTTGTCATGTCTCATGGTTATTTAAAACATATACAATATGAAGTCTTATTTAAAGAGTTTGTCCCGAGTGATCCCTTCTCAGGAAAAAGAACCAGAGAGAGAAAACTTCAGAGATTTCCATAACAAATGGTGTTTCCTGTCCGGACTTGAAGAAGTTGTATCAGTAGAGGAGAGCCACTGATGGACCAACCTCACAGCTGCTGCAGCACAGAGGAGAGGAAATTCCTTTTTAACCCTTTAAAGTCAAGAGTATCACATTTAATACATGAGTTTTTAAGACTTCTGTATCATAATTGGGATGTTTTTGTGCTTGAAAACCCAGACGTACCCAATCAGACAAATGTGGTGAACAGAAAATGTGTAAAAGATTATATAGAAATGCTTAATGTATCAAAATTGATGCAAATAAATGTTCTAATTTAACTTATTCAAAAAGTATTATTTTATTATTTCATTTGTCAGAAAGTTACTTGACAACTCTAATAGAAGAAATTGAGTTTTCTGTCAGTTATTTCACAATCCAGGCTTTAAAGGGTTAAATATCTTCAATGGTTTTCCAGGGTTTGCTGCAGCCAGAAAGTTTGCCACAAAATATTGTATTTTTTAGCACTGAATCTATAAAGATACAATTTGAATTTCTGAGAAAATATGTCGTCCCACATTGGGCATGAAAAACCCAAACATTAAGCCCTCGTTTTACTTAGTTTTAGATGGAACCCCATAGTGGGACAAGTGATTCCTGTATAGCTCCTAAAGATACTCAAAATAATTATTCCAGTTGCCTTTTTAATACCTGTTCCTTCTGTAAATTAATTCTGTAAAAATTCAAAAAAATATCCACTGGACTTGGTTTCCAAGCTTTGAAGACATTTCGCCACCTCTCCAGGAAGCTTTCTCTTTTTCTGGACTTGGAAACCAAGTCCAGTGGATATGTTTTTGAATTTCTACCGAATTACTATGACCTGGAAGACTGAGAACCTTCACCAGCATTCTGTAAATTAACTTATTGTGGGTTTATCTTACCTGATTCTAATTTATATTGTTTTAGCAGTCAAATAGAATGTGGTTGCTTATTGTAAGAACTGAAAGCAAACTTTAATTTCAAATTTGACTGAGAAGCACTGATGCAGCTGTTGACACCAGATGTGCTGAAGAAATTATTTAAATTGAGTCAATTCCATTTTTAGGATCAATTAAAAATTGATATTGATGAGTTAAACAAACTTTATGTGGCCAATATATGTCTGTCTCTCTATATGTTGAATGCATTTGATGTTGGACGTTTAATTTCACTGTGTATGATGCATCTTTTAAATTAACTAAAATTGTTTTTCTGACATGACTTTAATGTGATTTGAGTTTTTACAGGATTTGAAATGAACTAAAAAATGAAAATAACACAGCATTAAAAAATCTTTTAAGTGCAATAGTTTTCAGTTTTTTTTTTTTATTTTTTTTTTTACAAATTTTAGAGAAACAAAATACAGTTCTTAATAAATTTGTTTTTATAAGTTGCGGGGAAAACGAAAAGCTAACCTTGAAAAAAATGCATTCATGATTAAACAGTTTTTTTTTGTTTTTTTTTTATCTAGTTGGGTTTGGTCTTTTTTAGAAGAATTCTAAATTGAAAATTAGAATTTTTCTGTAAACCAAGCTGCAGTCTATGTACATATGGATGCAGTGAATCAGAGTGTGCATTCACACAGTAACCCTCCACCCTGTTTGCTTTGGCTCAGAGTTATGTCATCAGCTGAAACATGCTGCAGAACGAGGTGTAATCATAGAGACTTTTATCATTTAAACCCTCCCAACAGATTATACTAGAAGCAGTTCTCCCTAATGATCCATAAAATGCATGAAAAACCTTGCATCCCCTTCCTCTCTGAGAACACTGCTCCACTTTGCTCTGGAGCCAAGGGGACATACCATGCAGAGAAAATTGTGCCAGTTATAACTGACTACATATGGTTCCAGCCAATCAGTGCTGACTGGTTTTAAGACTGACCAATAGGAGGGAGGAACCTGCAGCTAGAGGAGGGTCTCTGACCTAAATGTGACCATGATCGATGAGGGGAGATTCCACAACAGATTCACTTTATTACAATAGTGAGTCTCTGTGCAGGGTCATTTCATTTGGCTTCATATTTATGAAATCCCACAATAATGTTTGGATCGATCTGTATCCAATGACTCTTCCTCTCTGATTTGGGGATTTTACAGTTATTCGTACTTCCAAGTGGATTTAGATTTTAAAATACTTTCATTGTCGTTTCCAAGAATTTTGGAAACGACAGGGGGATCCCTATTGAGATCCCCCTGTTAGGGCATTTAATCTCAGTATAAATGCAGCTGCTCTGTGACGGTCTCAGAGGTTTGATAGATATACAACGGTAAGAAGATGGAGCAACTGCAGACCTAGCAAGATAGAAAACACACTTTATTGATCTCAGAATGGAGAAATTCACTTGTCACATCAGCTCACTAGTTAAAAGAAGGTGTGGAAAGGAGGAAAAGTTGCATGGGGTATTTACAGTGCATCCTCATATGGATCTAGAAAAAAAACATTTGGATTTGGCATTGTACATTAAGAACATGGAAGTCTAGAGAAACTGACAGACTGGACTAGGAGAGGATTATTCAAAGAACCAGCTAATAAGATGGGCAACTCTGGAGGAGCTGTAGAGATCAACAGCTCAGGTTGTAGAATCTGTTAATTCAACTTAATTTGTGGCTGAAAAAAGAACTGTGTTAAAAGAAAGGAATTTGAAGATCAGCCAGACACATTTCATTTATTAAGTGCTTTACAACAACCACAGATTTATCAGAGTGCCGTACAAGGGATACAAAAAAACTAGAAATGATAATAAAAAGGTAACAAGAAAGCAGGTAAATACAAATACGACACATCTAAGTAGAAATAAAAATGCCATCTTATGGGTAGATGTGTTACAGGATGTGTTTACAATTTACCACAGCCATATGTGTCACAGCAGATGTGTTGTGCGACATACCACAAACAAAGGCTGTGGTTGAGGACTTGTCCTCCACATGCCCCTGAACACACCGTTCACAACACAGCGGTAGCAGCATGGGCCTGTGGAGCTGGTCAGAGGTGATGGGAAGTTAGATGGAGTTTAATCCAAACGAAAGCCTGTTAGAGGTTGAAGAAGACTTCAGAATAAAGATTCACTTTGCAACAGGACAGTCACCCTAAACATTCAGTCAGGGGTATGATATATCCTGACTGTATGTATGTATGGCTGTTAAAGCACCTTCAGATTACATGTTTTGTGAATTGGCGCTATATAAATAAATTGAATTTAATTGGTTAAATGGTTTTAAATGAAGCTGGTTAATGGGCTAGAATGGCCTATCCAAAGTCCATGGTCATGAATACTTTTGAAGCCACTGTGTGAGATCGGGAGTCACAGAAAAGGACTAAAAAAAAAAATGTTATTTGTCCTCCCTCTGGAAAAAACTATGCATATATTAAAGGACAAACAGGACCTGTTTGAATCTATTTGGAATTCCTTCATTAATTATGTCAAGACTTTGAATACCTCAGTAGATGGTGCAAGTGATTGAAGAACATGTGAACTGAGGTTCCCAAAGACAATTTATCGGAGGACATATACTGTCAAATTTAATTATCAGTATAAGAGGCTAAGCACGAAATGTGATCAGTCGCATTGGAACCAATATAGAGTGAGGCAATTTGTTGTCTCTATTTTATTTTGACTTGAACAGTAACGCTACTATTGCTGTGATCGTATTTTGTATATTTTTCCAGATGTTTGTTTAAACTGCTAAAATTGGAATAAATATATTATGAGGAAAAACAACAACAACAAAAAAACATAACGTCTCCTGGTGAGTATCACCCCCGTGTCACTAGGGGGCGATAGTGAGGCACTGATGCCATTCTGAGCTGAAGGCGAAAAAAACAACAAAAACAGCTACAAGAAAAATCACAAAACCAAGATGGCGGTTCAGGAGACAGCAGCTCAGCTGTCCATGGCTCTGAAAGTCCAAGAATATCCCACCCTAAAGGTAAACACAGCACAAACTGTAACATGTCAATCCCCTATTCTAATCTACACCGTCATAACGTCCAGGTCTGTTTAAAGGAGGATAATTAGTGGTTAATTAGAGACTGCTACGGCGAACATTACAGGGAGGCTGGGGTTAGCTAAACTAGCACAACCAGAAAACCAACCTCCTGGATTTAAAGGAAGGATTTTAAAGTGTCAACACCATTTTTTGGGGTATTTGGCGATTTTCTTTTTAGTTTGAAGATTATTTATACCGAATCCTTCCAAAAGTGCATAGTTGTTAGATTAAAATCGAGCTTGCTTTTGACTAACTGGATCCGTGAGAAAAGAAAAAAAAAGCTTGCAGGATGGTTTTCTTGGAATAACTAGGGAAAAGGTGTGGATTCTTTTATAAAAGGTGAAAGTATCTGATAGTTTTTCTGCCTGTTTCGGATTAATCCGTTTTACTTCTGGTTATATCTACGTGAACCAGAAACAACATGGTTGATCTACCTTTCGTGGAAGAAATGACAGGATGCAGACGTGATTAGCCTGCTAACGTTAGCTCTGATCAGTGGAGGCAAACCGGTGGCTGTTAAATGCCGGTATGTGGTGCTGATTGGGAGGGAATGAGGAGGCTAGTTTATGGATGGTTGGGGGTTCCTGAGTCATCAGATTCCTGCCGCTTCTCTGTGCTTCAAAATGGCCAGTGGGAGAAATCCCAGCCGGCTGCCGCACACACGCACTGCTCCTCCATTCTCCCACTCAGCATCACTGCGACACCGTTAGGAGACGGGCTCCCGGTCCGGTGTGTCCAGGGACACTGTGAGTATCAGCTGAATGACAGCATCTGGGTCGGAACCGAGGGGGTAAAATGTTACCAGGGTGATGAAAAGAGGCTGTGGAGAAAAGCATCGCTATGGTTCTGCTGCAGGAAGGTGCTGGGCACCATTTTAGGACAGGGCTGATGTTCTAACTGAAGAGGATCATCTGTAACATGATGCCTCCATTATTAACTAAATGCATCAGCTGCTGGGTTTTTATGTCCTCATTTTAGTTATGGTTTAATCAAAAGAGCAATAAAGAAACCCTTTGATAATAATACCCGAGCTTATGTGTGCAGATTTAAAGGGAAGACACCTACATCATGAAATCCTGGAAATGATTCATATCCTTCAATTTATAGTACATTCATAAAGCATATAATATATGCTATATAATACTATAATACAGTCATCAATAAAACAAAATAATCCTAACAATAGGTGAACCTTTTTAAATTCATTCATTAGCAAAAACCTTTGCAAAGATTTTACCAAATCAATTCAGTTTGTCTATTTGGCGCCAATTCACAGCATGTCATCGAAGGCACCTTATAGAGACGCTTCAACCAAATCATACAGTCAGATTGGTTCATAGTTTTCTATCTAAGGAAATCCAGCTGATTGCATCAACTCCACAAAAGGATAAATATTTAACTTTTATAGAAGTGGGAATAGCTGTCAGTTAATTGATTTTCTTCAATTAATGCTCAGCCCAAAGGTCATGTTTGTTACAGTAGAATAGGAAATGTTCCCATTGAAAAGTAATGAACATTTTAACTTGAACCAAAGTACCGTTTAGAATATTTCATATTTTAAATAAAACTTCTGTGTTTAATTGTAAGTTTTTTGTGTACAGTAAGTAACTCCTGTTCTCTTCAATAAAATCTGTTTTTTTCCTCCTTCAGAGGTCGTGCAGCATTTGGGCATAGACTCAGAATGCTGATTTGATTTCCTAACAGATTCTGGAAAACATTTAACAACACAGTCAACTTTGTATCAGCTGAATATTGATAAAATGCTCTATATAACTGCTTGTATCAATGAGCAACTGGAAGAATAATTTCTTCCTTTTTTTGAGTTTTTTCCTGTTTACATTTTAATTCAGAAACAGGAAAAGTCTTGTTCTCCTGCAGTAATAACTTTATGGCGACCTGTGCTTTATGTCTGCTTAATATTGGACCTGTTGGATGTTCTGATCCACTCTTGAGCCCCAAATCTCACACAGATTTCACCTACAGACTAATTTTAGGGGCCTGATTGTGATTTCCAGATGCTTCTGGGTTTTTGTACTCTCTTAAATCCTTCTAGAGTCGGAGTTTTCTGATTGAGACATCAAAATGCTTCATCTTATGTGTTTTGCATAAAGATATAATCATGTCTTTAAGCATTCGTTAAATCTAAAAATGAGCTTTTCTCTGAAAGCCAATTTAAAGCTACTATATGTCTAGTTTACAATATATTTTCTTGTCATCTGCTTTTGTCTACGTGGGACTCATTGATTAATTGGACATAATTAATAACAGTCGGACATCTAAATAATAACGGCTGTATTTTCCACTTAGTTGTGGAATATCCATTTGTTCCCACACGGTTTAAGTTGGTAGGTGAAACATTAACCTGTTATGTAACAGATGTTGTACAAACTGTTATTTTTTTTATTTGACATAATTAATAATCACAAACTATGCTACAGCTGCAAATCGGTACCTTTCTCATCTCTTTATTCGGGAGTTTAGATTCTTTTACATGTTTAATAGGTTAATGTATCCGATCCTTGTTCTGATCAATTTTCAGTCAGAATTTTTTAGCTTTATGTACAAAAAGATGCATTGTTTTGACATGCATATCCTGATTCTCAGACTTTGGAACCAAATTTCAGAAATGTTGAGCTTAGAGGATGAGAATAATTTTCATTAGTCAAGATGAGTAAAGTGAGTTTAGTTATTGGTCACTTTGGATCAGGCTTTTCTTGACATTTTGTGTGAGATCCTGTTTCATCTCTGCAGATGGTTCTTGTCAACCCAGTCACTCCAGTTTTAGGTGAGAAGGAGATTCTAGGAGGCCTTTGGAACAGTTAAGAAAGTTGGATATTTTCTAGGAAAACAGATTCCTGTCTAAATAGAAGCATGGTCGAAGGAATCCATCTGGGAGGCTGTTTTCTCTTCCAGTAAACACCATACGTCTGAGCTGAGGTCTCTGCCCACAGAACATAACGCAACATGTGAAACATAAGGTCCCATTCTGCCATCGGAGTTTGGAACAGATCTCTGAAATCCTAATAAACTGTGTTTCCTCCTAAGGGTGCATTTCCTAGTCAGCCAGCTTGAGGGGAAGAATCCCGTCAGTGGATCAGAGGCTGCAATAAAAAGAAGCTTCCTGCTTAATCAGAAATGGCCACATGCTACTAGCTATACTACATGGATTAGACAAAGTCATTTTGGATATTCAAAAAAAAAAAATGGAATAAAAATACACAAAAATTCTTTAAGTATTAAATAATATAAATCAATATACTTGATCGGAGGACTGGCTATTTGATTCTCTATTTTCCATTTATTTGTTGGCTTTTTACCTCTGTAGAATTACTTTTTATCATTGTCCTTCAAGTGGGGCGGTTTGCCTCAGCTTGATCTGACAGACTCTGACATAAAGATGTCTTCTGATCTCCTGAAAAAAAAAATCTATTTATATGATTCAAAATGTGGATGTGGCTTGATTCTTTTTTCAAAATCTTAAAACTTCATCAAAACAGCAGCCTTAAACTGAACTCAGTCCACTTTCACCACACCATAGCGTTGTCTCACCAGGTGCCGTACGAGACTCTGAACAAACGGTTCCGAGCGGCCCAGAAGAACATCGACCGGGAGACGAGTCACGTCACAATGGTGGTTGCAGAGCTGGAGAAGACCCTCAGCAGCTTCCCAGTGGTTGACTCCGTGGTGTCACTGCTGGATGGAGTGGTGGAGAAGCTCAGTGCTCTGAAGAGGAAGGTGAGACAACTGCTAACAGAGATGTTTGATATTTTTGTTCTGACTATACACTTGTTTTATTAAACACTTTCCACACAATTGGAAGTAGATATTTATGTTCATGATGCTGTAATGGCCTACAATATTTGTACTACTGCTGCCCATTTATTCAGATTTGAAAGCCCAGAATTATAAAAGATTCATGTCAAGATTCATGTTGTTTTCACTGTGAATGATAAAAAAAAACATATTAATTTTCACCTTTGTTACAGATTTACAAATTAAAATTTTTAATTTAAAAAGAAACTTTTAAAAAGTAGGAAATATATGATGTTCCCATGAGGATGGTCAGACTGATCCATGGGTCATAACAGGAAACTATCTTCTGCTCAGTGTGGAGTTAATAAGCAAATACAATCAGAATAGAGGCTTTAAATGCTGAATCCTCACCTTAATTCAATTTTTTTTTTTAAATGGGACACAGTGATCATGCGTGGCTACCTGAAGGTTGTCGTCAAGGCTTTACTTCAATCTACAGAGGACACTTAAAAACTTTCCTTGGTCCAACAATAGCTATGTTGTAGTGGAGAGGCCCTGAGCATCACCAGCATATCCTGTGTTTTCTAAAGGCTGCCGAGTCGATTCAAGCAGAAGATGAGAGTGCCAAGCTCTGCAAGCGTCGCATCGAGCACCTGAAGGAGCACAGCAGCGACCAGCCTGGTTCTGTCAACCTGTGGAAGAAGAAACGCATGGACCGCATGATGGTGGAGCACCTGCTGCGCTGTGGCTACTACAACACAGCTGTGAAGTTGGCCAGACAGAGTGGTATAGAGGTGATCACCGGGTCTCCTGGCTATCATATGTTCCTCTGGATGTTCTCTGATTTACATATATAGTGATCAATTCTGCCACCTCTGTTAGGATCTGGTGAACATTGAGATGTTCCTCACAGCTAAGGAGGTGGAGGAGTCTTTGGAGAGGCAGGAGACGGCCACGTGCTTGGCCTGGTGCCATGACAACAAGTCCCGCCTCCGCAAGATGAAGGTTTGTAAAATTCAGCATTTGGACCATATTCCCTTCATTCTCAGACCGTGAGACATATTTTAACTAACAAAATAAGTATTATAAGCTCTATTTTACTCATTGGATGGCGAGGATTCATCTGAAAGGGAGACCCAGGCCTATTCCCAAACCGCTCCCTAACCATTAACCCTTAACTATCAAGTGTGACTCGTAGTGAAGTCACACTGGCAGCTGTGGAAAGTGCCTGGATTGTACCTTGGGGTATAAACATGAATGGGATGACCTACTCCCTCCAATGGAATGGGAATGTCACTGATCTCTATTTATTTACTGGTAACTGGATTGCCCGGAAAGTGAAGCCACCGTCCGCCATGCTGGTACTCCCCACTCTTACAGAGATATGCAGAAAAAATGTCTACATGTGTAGCATTTGGCTGCAAAAACAGCCAGTTTGCCGGCTGTGGGAAGTTTTTTTCAAAGGTAATTTCAGTGTCAGTCTGTGCATACATACTTGTATGTATTATTATTATTATTTTTTTTTTTCAAATGATCAGATTCTTGTTGTAAATAAGCAAAAAGCAAAATATGAACTTGGTGTTGCCTGTTATTCTACCAATTGATGTGATTTTGCTAGTGTAGAAATGAGCTCTGGGGAGTTATTAAATTGGTTCATTAATTTAGCTCTATTGTAAATCTGTCAGATTTGAAGGCTAATGCACAGACAAAGAAGAAAAGTATTTGGCATCATGCATGCACAATTTGCAAATAGAAAAATACTATAGCATTAACAGACATATACTTGTAATTCAGTCTTTATCTAAAATCTTAAAATTATATGTAAGATGTAATTACCATGACAATATAATAAATACATGTGAGTAATCAATTTAGCACTTTTGGCACATCTGTATTATGCTCCATTAACACATATAATTTGTATAATATGTCATTTTACATGATTTATAGGCTTGACTATGCAATGTGATGTGCCTATTTTTTTATTATAAGTTAAAGTAATCTACTTATGCTGTGAAACAGCAAGTGTGTGTCAAAGTAAGGAATTTATCTTTATTTTAAAAGTCTTAAGTTCCCCTGAAAATGAGAACATCATCGTTGTTCGATGCTGTAGCGCACATATTGTTTACATTGTGACCAATCTAACTAGGGAGTACCAATATGGCGGTCAGTGGCTTCACTTCAAAACGGTATTACCAACTGGCAATTGGAAATCCAGGGAATAAATAGAGATCAGTAGGGAAAGCAGTCGTTCCTATGGCAACACACTGACGCCTCGTGCGTGGCTGTAGCTCTGTGTTGCAGGTTAACATAACATTAAACATTTTCTATTTTCTTAAACATTATACTCTCCAGTCAAATAGAACTATTTCATAGGGGACCTTCCCTTTAGGGATAAATGATGTCTTTTGTTTTTTGTTTTTTTCTTTTTCCTAACTCGTGATTTTCTTTCATTGTGATAAAGCTGCAGCCAGCCAGCAGAACTTACATTTGAATGCACGTGTTTCCTCCACCACTAGTTTACCGTTACACCTGCTGCTTAATTCCAGCGAGCCTGCATTTGATGCAGACTCACTATTTAAGGGCTGAACGGTCCACTTGCCCACTGCATGGTTTGGGACGGCGCTTAATGCGGCTGACCCTCTCTGGGAAAGCGCAAACAAAGGGTTGGTGTTCAGGGGCTGCTTTTGGGATTCAGCCCCAATGTTACAGACAAGTTCCTCTGAATAGGGAGCAGGATCCATTAAGAGTAGCATCAACATCAGCAGAGGCTAAATAAATAGTCTTTGACTTAAAGCATATGTTTATCTCCTGAACGTTCACACTGTTGTTATTTCTGTAGATTAATCAAAATCTCAATTGCAAAATTAAGATAAAACACCTGCATTAGAACTTGTTGATGTAAAATTGAGTTTGAAGTGGGAACGTAGACTCATCATGGATATAAATGCAGAAATTTGGGGAATTTTAATTATTTATATACATTAATTTTAATGTTTTTTTTTTTTTTGCCTGACTTTAAGCTCTTTAAAACCAGTTCAGGTGTTTTAGGTCATCCTACTGTTGAAACAGATCCTTCTGTGCAGGTAACCAGATTTAGTGCAGTGTTCTATGGTTTAAAAAAATTATTTATTTGATTCCCTGTGAACAAATTCAGATTAAACTCACTTGAAAGATGTTCTGTTAAAAAATGACCCACCAGACTTCAAGCTACAGCCAATCAGGCTTGCTTTCTAAAAGCATTTTTACGACAGATTTGAGAGTCTGGTTCTTGCAGCTTTGGGAACTTTAAGAGGTTAAAGTTCAGATAATTTCCCCCTTCATTTTGCAGAGCTGTCTGGAGTTTAGCCTGAGAATTCAGGAGTTCATTGAGCTCATCAGACAGAACAAGCGTATGGATGCAGTCCGGTACTTCACACAGAACTCAACACACACTTTACACTCACTTTCCTCTAAGAAGCAGCATTTATTTAAACTGTCACAACTGAGTTTGTTGGTCTCTGTTTGCTCACATCAGACATGCAAGGAAGCACTTCAGCCAAGCAGAAGGAGGACAGCTGGATGAGGTCCGGCAGGTGATGGGCATGCTGGCCTTCCCATCAGATACACACATCTCCCCATATAAGGTACCAGTACTGGGAATAATCCAACTTTGGTAACAGTTACACTGCAGATTACAGGAGAGCTGGATGATATGAAGTAGCATCTTCCAGCCACCAGATGGCGCCTGTTGTCTTAACAAGACCAAGCTAACTAAACTACAGGCTACATTTAAATTATGTTTAGTTTACAATAAAAACAACTTGGAGTCAAGCAAACCTTTTAATTATTTTGCAGTTTAGATCAATTTGTGAATCCAACAAAATGCTCTTTTTTTAAATGAAACACAGTTGAGTCCAGTTAGTAAAGTATTGCAGAATTATTCCACATTACATGACGGATCAGTGGAAATACAGCTTGTGGTTTTTGTCATCTTTACTCAGATTGTAGAAATAAATAGGACATATTTAAGTAGTTTATTTTGATAAGGGTTCCTATTTGTTGTAGAAACGGTTAAACTGGTTTTTCCTGTTTTTTTGCCCAAGTACAACGGGAACCTCACCCTAAAAATGTCCTCAGTTTGTTTCTCACTGGTTGAATAAACAAACATAAACCAGAAACTGTTTTTTTTTTTTTTTTTATAAAATGGATCATGAGAATAAAATAAAATAGCTCATCTTTAGCCGTTCTGAGTATTTTCGATTTTGAAATGAACAAACGGGGGTAACCCGAACTGAAAGTTGTGATTCACACATTAACTTTAGCCCAATGTTTCAAGAAGGTTCTTGACTAATTTTGTTAGTATAATTTTCTATAGCAATTTTTTAACTATTTGTATCTTTCTCTGCAGTTGTATGCATGCTGCTCAGATAGAAATTATTTGGCTTATTGTCCTCATGGGGGAAACTTCTCCATGGGCTTTTTGTTTCCATCAGGATCTTTTGGATCCAGCTCGCTGGAAAATGCTGATCCAGCAGTTTCGATACGACAACTACAGACTCCACCAGCTGGGAAACAATTCTGTCTTCACAATCACCCTGCAGGCTGGTCTTTCAGCCATCAAGACGCCGTATCCTTTATTTACACTAACCTTTGGGCTCCTTCTCAAAAGTCCAAACTTCTTTAAACTGTCCCTATAAATGACTGAATTTAGCCTCTTTATGTTGAATGATTGATCAAGCAGCTTGTTGCTGGAGCTTTAACAGCCTGAACTAAAGTCTCTGCATCAAGCTGGGAGATTGTCCGGGATATGTGTGGTCTGTAGAGATGTTAGCTGGACCTGGATGGAGGAAAGGTCAGATCTGATTAAGCTCTCTGCAGACTCAGTTGTTCTTTATCATTCTTAACTCATCCTTTCAGTCAATGCTACAAGGAGGATGGCTCCTCCAAAAACCCAGACTGCCCAGTTTGCAGTAAATCTCTTAATAAACTGGCCCAGCCGCTGCCCATGGCTCACTGTGCCAACTCCAGGCTAGTCTGTAAGATCTCTGGGGAGGTCATGAATGAGAACAACCCTCCAATGATGCTGCCTAACGGATACGTCTACGGCTACAACGTGAGTCCTCTCTGTGACAAAACCATGTTTCATATGTTGTGTGAATTCTTGACAAAATCATGGAAACTCTACTCTGGTTCTTTTTGGTTTTATATCCTCAGTCCCTGCTGTCCATTCGCCAAGACGACAAAGTTGTGTGTCCCAGAACCAAAGAGGTCTTCAGCTTCTCTCAGGCAGAGAAGGTCTACATCATGTGATCACATGGAGCTTCTCAGTGTTGACGAGATCAAGTTATGGCCCTGCCCTCCATCATTGGTGACCTGGCCCACTCAGAACCACCAGTGGAGCTGTGATCCAGCGCCCTTCATCCCCCAACCCCCCTCTTACCAATAGATAATCCAGTCCCCCTTCCTCCCCCTCCTCCCCACTTTATCTCACAGAAACTGGGCTCTTCTTTCAGACTGTTTAGATGTGACTAGAAGTTGTTTGACCTGATCCATTCAAGCACATGGACTATCAACATTTTCATCATCTTAAAGGCCTTTACTCTGAACCTTAGAGTCTAGACAAAAGGAGTGAGTGGAAACTGTTAGTTAGATGTTTGATTTTACTACAACAAATAAAAAAGAACTTGTAAAGGATTACTTGGGAGTTTTTTTTTCATTTTACAAATAGTTTCTTTTATTTTTACATTAACTCAGTGTTATAACATTTGGGGTTGGTCCTTTTTTTGTAAAAAAACAAACAAAAACAAAACAAAAAAACAAATCTAGTCCTATGATCCATGGTGGAAAACAATCCATCAGTGTCTTCCTTCTTAGTGATATTTGGGAAACGCAGCCTCAATTGATCAGCTATAGATTCTATTTTAGCAAATATCTATAGTTGTCTCGTAATGACTTGACAGTTTTGAGAAAGAAGGCTGTTTCAGTAAAGGTGTGAACAGTTTCTATTGCCATGCAGGACACTTAGCTAGACCAGAACCTCTGGTTTCAATTGTTTTTATTCTTCATGTGAATCAACTTTTCATTTCACTGTGATTTTCCTTCAGCTTCACTCACAATTAGACTCATTAGACTTACATATGCTATTGATGCTTTTTATAGGTTTCATTTTCTAACCGTTGACCTAGCACCAATAACAGGTGTGTAGCATTAAGGGGTGCCAGCAGATATTTAATGGTGGTACTGTTTAAGCCGCAACAAAACTGTTGATCCAACACTGCTGCCTTTCCTTTCAAAGTCAAAGGGGACGACCTTGAGTTACCTGAGTACCGTACATGAATCATTCTTGTCCTGCATGACTGAAGTACGTAGTGTAAAGTGGATGAGGAGAAGCTTTTAGCTTCGGCATCTACTGATTTCTAAATGTTCAAGTTTAAAACATCCCAGAAAAAAAAAAAAACGGCTTCAACGCAGGTTTTATTTGGTCCTTTCTCCTTGTTAACCGGCCCACATTTGTATCCGTATGTGATCTGGAAGTGTATCTGTGAAGGAGCAAACTGTCATGTGTGTTTGTATTGGTAGAATAGAAACCGGGAATGTTTTCGAGAGCTCAATGTCTCATAAAGATCTTAGTCAAACTTTGGATTTCAGTGTTTTGTTTATTTGCATATTTGCAGAATCTGATCGGCTCACGTGACTAAAGAGTGTGACGTTAACTTTCTATCTGAGCTAAGCTGTGGAGGCTTAGCATACTACTATTGGTGTCTTTATCTGCAGTTGTATGCATGCTGCTCAGATAGAAACAGGTCCCCGCAGGTATGTTGATGTGGAAATCGATCCTACTGCCGCATCAGACCCATAAAAGTCAACATGTTTTTAGTGCAGACACTGAAGAGCTGATAATATAGGATGACACAGTTCTCATATGACATGTTAAATAAATTGGGAAAACAGTGAAACACCTCACTAAAGTATGGATAGGTCTGGAACTTGTTCATATTTATTGCTTGACTTTATTGATCTTACAGTGGAGAAATGTACTCGTTACATCAACACAAATAATCAAAGGAGAATAAGAAGGTGCATGGGCTATATACAGTGCGTCCACATATGACAGCTGTTTTTATGTTTGTCATGTTTGCTTTAAGGAACAAAGAGGAATAAAAACAACTACAAACTGTAGAAATATTAGGGGATTTTCTGTAAATTCTTACATTTAGACACTTAAGTAATCTAGTTTGAAGCATTTAATTATAAATCAGTCCATTTGTGTGCAAACCAATCAATTAAGTTCTGGTTAGGTTCTAAAACAATCTCCCAACCTTTAAAAAAATATCAATTCATTATCTGAACATGGAAATGGGGTCTACAAGGAAACATATTAGTCAAACATTTTACACAACTGTTCTTCTATTAATTAATAGATACAATAAAGGGATTTTCTATTCATTATGTCAAATAGAAAGTCAGAAATCATCATGGCAGTTATATTCCAGCAGCCATGTGGGGGAGACAGAAAACACGTGGCTAAAGTTTCTGTTTAAAGCTTAAAACTGAACTTTTATTATGTCTGTTTGCAAAACATTTTCTCTTGTATAGCTGAACATTTCACATTACACTTAATGGCACATTGTGGTGGCAGCATCTTTTTATTTTCTCAGACAGGGACAATGAAGACAAAAAGGAATTAAATGCAGTATTCTACTAAACTACATATAACTTTTAAAGGAGAATGGGAAACGAGCGTAAATCCTCAACGGTGTCCCTGAGAAGGGGGACATTAGTCGTCTTTATTCTGCGGGGGTTGGTCCCCATCATGGGGACCCCATCCCCCCTTCTCTTTTATGTCGGTTTTGTTTCATGTTTCAGTGAATAAAGGTTAATATTAATATAGAAAATCGTTAGAAATGCAAAGTTTGATTCTTCAAATCCCCGAATGGAATGGAAATGAACCCCCTCATTTATTAAGACATTACAGAAGTTGTTTAAGCAAACGTCTTTATGAAGCGTTGCGTCGAGCTATATTTTGACCTCTTTTAGTTATGACTAGAAGCCAACACTGCTTTATTCTTATTTTTTCTTTTATCGCCTTTAACATGTTTAAAGGATGAGAGACATATTGATATTAACCACAACGGAATAAATACAACGCCTTCCATTTATTTGAAATGCATTTATAATGTCTTTGTCGCCATTACGTGATTTTTCAAGATGTCCGATTCACCCCTCCCCCTCCGCTAAGACACCGGAAAAGGCGTCGTTTCTGTGTCGTCATTGCAGTTCATTTATATAAAGCTGCGTTCTTCTCCTCCGCCATCTTGTGATCAACCCGTTGTTGGACACACGCAGACCGTTTTTTCTGATCGCCATTTTTTCTCCCATTTTTCCAAAATGAACGACCAGCTCTGTAAACTGTTCGTCGGCGGGCTGAACGTAGACACCGATGACGATGGCCTGCGCAAGCATTTCGAGCAGTACGGCTCGCTCACCGACTGCGTGGTCGTCGTGAACAAGCAGCTGCAGCGCTCCCGCTGCTTCGGCTTTGTTACCTACTCCACGCCGGAGGAGGCCGACGCCGCCATGGCTGCCAGGCCGCACACCGTAGACGGCAACGCGGTGGAGGTGAAGCGTGCGGTGGCCAGGGAAGATGCAAACAAACCCGAAGCTCTGGCTAAAGTAAAGAAAATCTTTATCGGTGGGCTGAAAGACGACATCGAAGAAGAGCACTTGACCGAGTACTTCTCGCAGTACGGCCAGGTGGAGAAGTCTGAAGTCATCTCCGAAAAAGAGACGGGGAAGAAAAGAGGCTTCGGTTTCGTGTACTTCACCGACCACGACTCCGCCGACAAGGCGGTGGTGGTGAAGTTCCACACAGTTAATGGACACAAAGTCGAGGTGAAGAAAGCCCTGACGAAACAAGAGATGCAGGCGGCGAACAGAAACACAATGGCGCCGAGAGGAAGGCCCGGCAGAGGCATGAGAGGGAATCAAAATGGCTTCGGAGGCAGGGATTATGGCGGAAGCTACAACTACGGAAATGGCGGCGGTGGCGGCTACAACTGTGGCGGCTACGGAGGGTACGGTGGACCGTACGGAGGTGGTTATGGCGACCAGGGAAGCGGCTACGGTGGTGGCAACGGCTACAGCGACTTTGGCAGCGGCTACGGCCAGCAGTCCTCTGGCTACGGCCCCATGAAAGGGCCGCCCTTCGGAGGCCAGAGGAGCGCTGCTCCCTACTCCAGAGGCGGAGGTGGTGGAGGATATCCCAGGGGGGGCTACGGTGGTGGCGGCGGCTACTAAAAGAGAACACCCTCCCCACTCACGCCTCCCGCGAAACGTTTCTCCCCGCCATTTGGTCGCAAAACTCTGTCATGAATGGGGCCGTCTGTCGTGAATCCCATCCGTGGCAGAGCCGCAGAGACACCCCTCCCCCACCTGAACCCCTAACAGGTAGGAAGGTCACTTCCCAGAACACCTGCTTAACCCGAACAGTGCTTCTATTGCTGTTCACCTAGGACACACAATCCAAGAATTACACTTTATAACAGTGACCCCTTTTTTTTATTGTACCCACGCCATCAGTGTGAGGTTGTCTTTAGAGTTGGATTATTTTTTAATTTGCGTTCAGTTGTTGTGTTTGAAAAGTGATGTAGGATTATTTCTTTCTTGACCAGTTATTTTAATATCTTGCATTTTAAACAGTTGGATTCGATTTTGTTATAAATTTAGTGGGAAAATTAGTGTATTTTCTTTTCAACAAAGATGAGAAAGCATGTACTTTTTTGTTCTTACCATCAGTTTGTATAATTTTCTGGACCATCCAAATGCACAAAAAAAAAAACAGGACTCCTCCCTTTCCTCTTACTCTGTACTTTAAATCCCTCCAAGCATATTGATAGTTTCAGTCTAAATATTGTTCATTTTTCCCATTACCTGTAGCAATATCTATTGTATATTGTATACTTTCATGTGTTGGAGAACAAAACCTTATTGTTGGAACATTTTTGGTATGCTCATGTATGTTCATTTTAAATAAAACGTTATACCACTTAGCTTAGTTATCTTACTTCTTTAACCAGGCTTCAAGTTTATTCACAGGTTTATGAGATCATCTCCTTGCTCTTTAGTTACATGACATCGTTTCCACAGTTTATTCCTTTACTCAGGTGGGTGAAATGGTTGCAGTCTACCCACAGCCAATGCATGTAGGCTTTGTAGGGTGAGACCTTGCCTTTTACTTGACTTATTTACTCTTTTACTGAAATAATCTATATGTGGACCTGAGGGCTCTGATAATTATCTTTGATTATTCCTACATTTAGGTGTTCTTACTCGTATTCCTGTAGGCTATCCCAGCCATAATAGCCGTAGCAGTTTGTTTGTAGGCTACGTCAGGACCCTGTTGATTACCTGGGGTCGATTGTGATAGGAGTCTGAAATATCTCTTTAGGATATCCACATCCAGCCAACTAGGTATGTAATTCAACCTGTCTTCACTCTGTGTTGGTCAAAAATGTATGGAACATATTTAAGATGGTGCACAAGTGTACCATTGTTTAATCTTATCAGACCACTACGTCTGTTTATGAGTAGCTAACTTAAGTAAAATGGGGATTATTGTTGCTTGATTGGTCTAAAGTGGGTGGAGGGGGAGTTTGTTCCACGGATTCACTAGTCAGTGGAGCGAGTGAAGGATGATCTTCTCTGGTTCAGTTTCTCACTGTTTTTTCTTTCCCCTCCAATCTCCTCCAGGTTGCCCCTGTAACCTGGACTGAGGGGGCATCGCCCTGGAAGCGATGGGGTGTGTCTCCATGCTGACAGGGAGCCAAGGAGGACTGGAACCTTCTTTCCCTCCAGGTGAATGATCAATGTTGGTTGCTGGTTTTCTAATAGTCTGCTGGAAACACATGATTAATTTATAGCTTTGTTTCCAAATTTGTTGCAAATCAATTAAAAAGCCATGAACCAAGAGTTCTTAAACATGCAGTTTTTAACTAAAACCATAGGTTCTTCTGTCTAAAAATTAAGAAGCCAAATGGGATAAAATCTACTGCAGCAGCTTGATGACAGATGAGTGGTTAAATTACTGTTACTGACTTTAAGAGGTGTTTATTTTATTGTTCTCTTGTAGGTTTTTTTTCGTGCATCCCAGAGGATGAGGAGCTTCTGTACTGTTGGCTGAATTTTTCTGTTTTCTTAACAAATGCCTAATAAATATTTATTTTTTGATATACAAAAAAGACTTGTTACTTTTCTACAATACCCTTCGAGTCTGGAGGTAAATGCTCTTACTTGTGGAGTACGATTTTGAGTCATTGGTTAATGGGTTTGTTTATGAGCAGTTGAGATAAAACTGCATGTTAATGTTCCCAAAGATAAGCCAAGGTCCTGAATTTGATCCTTGGACATCATTTACCAGCAGCAAATTCTGCAGCTTATTAAATCCTTACTGAAGAGGGAACCCAGTAGAAAAGCTTTGAATGCTGATTTTACTGCAACAATTTAATTACTGATTGCAGTGTTGGTAGTTTAAGAACTGCCTACACTAAAGCATAGAGACAGGAATGTCTTCTAAAATTCATCCAGCTATATAAACAAAATATGAGGGATGTTTTTCTGTAACAATCACCTATAGAAGTCTAAAACATTACAGGGTTACCAGGCCATGGGTTTTCAATCTTGTGATAAAGGGAGGAAGGGCCACAGATTAAATCTGTCAAAGAATGGTGCATGGAACTGCACACATTGGTGCTGTAGAAAATGGCTACATAGATATTTAAAATTAACAAAAAATTGTGAAGCCCTGACATTAAGATAGTATATTTCAAAATGGTCATATGTTGGCTTGGTGCTACAGCAAACTCAGTCACGAGCCCTTCAATCATTGTCTTTCTATGACAACCCTTTCTAGTTACTGCTTGTGCACCATGAACCTTATCCTGCAGCATACTGCTACGTGGATTAGTATAGAACGACTAAACCATCAGTTTTATTGTAATACAATTTATAAAGCTGCCAGATAATTGGACTGGAAATATATATTTTTAAATGTAATATTAGGGGGAAAGTATAAGACTGGTGGATTTAGACATTCGTTGAACTAGGGCAGAGTAAAATGGAGGGAAATGTATTCAATGTTAACCCAAGTGAACAACATTCCGGACCAAAGTCCAGATTTATGGATGCAGACTTTCTCATTTCTAAAAGTTAAAGGTTGCCTTTAAATGGTTTCAGAGGGAAGTATGTTTTCAAACAGATTTAGGAGTTTGTTCAATTGGTAAATCAAGGAACATTTGTCCACTTTAAACATTAGTTTAACAATAGAGAAAATGGAGGGAAACATAACGGTGATGCTTATCTTGTGTCCATCTGATTTTATCTGGCTTCCAAGAAGAAAAATCTAGGAAAAAAGTGTGGCCCTACCTTAATCATTTATCCTACAAAAAAAAGTTTAGGATAAATCAAATCAGCTGCCTTCTTTACTGTCACCTAAAGATGTCTTTGATGTTATGAGCACTGTACACTCTGACCCAGATTTCGTACAAACTATAATCAGTATTTCCCTTCAATGCTATGATCCTACAGTGGAACTGTTTTTTTCCTAAATGAAGTAGCCTGGTTTGTTGCCTTCAAGGTCAGGGAAGAAATTTGGCTTAATGAGTATTTTATCTATACCGTTAAGGTTAAAATGCTGTTAAACCTTTTTTGAGGTTATATTTCTTTAAAAAGGGACGATCAAACAAAATAGCCACGGAAGATTGTGATTTTTTTCTTTTTTGTGTGTGCTAAAATCAACGGAACAGAAAGGCTTCAAAGCGGTGTGGGAGGCGACGTTTTTTAAAAAACGGAGGCCGACCAATCACATACCGTGACGTCAAACGCCATGCCCACACGTTGTTCATTGAAGAAGGACAGGGAAAGTCTCCATTTCCCATCCTCCAGACGAAACCCAACATGACGGACAAACTGTGCAAGCTTTTTGTTGGAGGGCTGAACGTGGAGACCACCAGCGATGGCCTCCGAGCCTATTTCGAACAGTACGGCTCTCTGACGGACTGTGTCGTGGTTATGAACCAGCAGCTCGGAAGGTCCCGCTGCTTCGGCTTCATAACCTACTCCGCACCGGGGGAGGCCGACGCTGCAATGGCGGCTAAGCCACATGTCGTCGAAGGCAACAACGTGGAGCTGAAGAGGGCCATAGCCCGAGAGGACGCCAACAACCCCGACATCCTCGCCAACGTGAAGAAAATCTTCGTCGGCGGAGTGAAGGACCACATCGAGGCGGAGAACCTGACCGAATACTTCTCTCAGTTTGGCGCAGTGGAGAAATCCGAGATCATCTCCGACAAGCAGACCGGCAGGAAGAGGGGCTTCGGCTTCGTCTACTTCACGGACACCGACTCCGCCACCAAAGCAGCGCTGACCAAATATCACACCATTAACGGGAACAAGGTGGAGGTGAAGAAGGCCCTCAGCAAGCAGGAGATCACCACCGGAGGGCGCGGAGGAAGAGGCCGAGGGAGAGGAATGCAGAACTTCGGCGGCGGGAGAGGAGGTGGATACGGAGGAGGATATGGCGGCGGCTATGGCGGAGGTTACGGCGGGAATTACGGAAGTGGCTACGGCTATGGCGGCGGCTACAACAACGATAGCAGCGGTGGCTACGGGGGTTACGGGGGATACAACGAGTACGAAACCCAGGTGGGGGGAGGATACAGCAACGGAGACTTTGGGGAGGGCTACGGACAGCAGCAGTCTGGCTACGGCGCGATGAAGGGGGGCAACTACTCCTACCGTAGCGGGGCTCCCTACAGAGGAGGTGGGGGAGGAGGCGCCGTGAGAGGCGGTGGATTTGGAGGAGGCTATTAGGGCGTTTGAAAGCCAAGATGTTCATGGGGACATTAGAAACGAACTTTACATTTACAGCACCATCATCTTCGGTGTGGGGGGGCTGGGTAATGAGCTGAGCCCATCACCCAGCCTGGATGAATGAAAGCCGCCTCCTCCACGCGGATCCCATCTGTCCCTTTTTGTTCCACTCATTCTGGACTCTAACAACCCACGATTTGTGAATATATTTTGTCGTGTATTATTGAACCATGTGTAAAAAGTGAGCTCTGTGATATCCTGCTTCTCATAGAATATATGGGTTTGTCTTGCAAAAAAAAGTCGTTTTTGACTCTTTTGCATGATAAACTCAGGGTTTTATGGGGCTGGTGTTGGGCAGCCACGAGGCTCTATGCGAGCCTCCTGGATCTTAACATGTGTTCCTATTGGATGTGTCACGGACTGTTCGCCTAAAAAGAAATTTGCCGTCCGTTTAAGGCTTTCTTTTTGTTTTTTTTTTTCTTTTTTTAAGAATCGATACTGTTGTGTATGTGTTCATTTCGCCCCTATGTTGTATTCTGCTTTTATTATTAAAAGTTTTTAATGACTTGAATCATATTTCTGTCTTTTTATTAAAGGATGTTTTCAGCATAAAGGATTTTATTTGCAAGGTAAAACCTTATGAAAAACTTCTTATATGCGCCACTAGGGGGCGGTAGATGGGTTTTCTTTTATTCTAATGGCATTACACAGGTTACATACAGATGGTGTGTTACCTGCCAATAATGGCTACTTCAACTTAACTGAGATCTGAGGTTGAAGTCTAGTAAGAACATGAGAAAGTGGTTTGGTACAAAAACCTGGAATACAGGCTTTTCCTGACAAGCTGGTTTTGAATAGAAGGCTTCCTGCAGGATGAGATGTTTCTACTAACAAAGTTGTGCTTTTAAGAGAAACGTGGGTTCCCTGGCACTGGGATAACTTCCTATGAACAAGAAACTTGCATACATTTTAATTTGAGCTAATAACGGAAAAAAAGAGTCATACAGAGCTGGACCACAGCAATGGGAGCTTCACATTTAAACCCAAAATCCAATTAGTTTCTCTTACTGGATTGCAGTTCAGGTTTTATAGACCTTGGACCTGAAACTTTTTGAGAAAAATTAAATTCTAGTCGGGTGCTTCATATATTACAAAATCCAATTAGAATATATGATTCTGATTTTAAAGTTTTGGCCAGAAATTTGATCAAGAACCAGACGGTTAGTGATGTAACTTGTTTGCCAAGACCG